TTGGATATATTATATCTACAACATGTGAAATCATGAATAATGGATAAAACCGAAGAAGAGTATCCAACTGCTCAAATGTCGTCATCTTAAAGGTAAGAATTGACTCTAACATCGTTTTACGTTCATTTGTAGACCTGATGATGACATAATGCCGAAACCGGTTGTCTTTTAATCAATAAAGTATATTTATGTGGGACTGTTTTTGAGTCATTTCTTACCCTTAAATTTAAATATTTTATGTCGAACTCATTGAAAATATTATTAAAGAAAACCTTAAACATTTTTTTATAAATTGGCAGGCTTGGCGACTACTATTTCGAATAAAAATAGTGCCCAAGATGCCCAATTAGACATTCCATCGGCCTTTCAAACAATAGCTACCGGTGAGCAGTCTCGTTTATCTAAGGGGGTTGCAATATAGCTTCCATCTTGGACGCTTTTTTATTTGAAATAGTAGTCGCCAAGCCTGACAATTTATGATAAATGAATAAGCGGTTTTTTAAAAATAATATTTTCATTGTGTTCGATATAAAATATTTAAATTTAATTAATTATTCAAAAGTTCACGTTTTGTAGATAGAATACATCGTATGTCGCAACCCCTTAGATATACCAACCCTTCTCACTGACAGTCATTTTGTTTGGAATGCCTAATATTAAAAGTGCAATTATTACAACTACCAAAATGTATGGCTTTGACCTTTTCAAGCATAGATTTTGAAAAATTTTGTGACATTACTTCTGTAACTCTAGTTTGAGTATCGAGTGGTTCCACATAGTCTCCATTAGAGTTGTCAACAGTAGAAATGTAGCTTCTCGTAACGCTCTGCTTTGAAGTAGATGGCATACTGTCATTCATCCAAATTTTATTATAAATTTTATTCTTTTGTGTAAACGTGCTACCCACATAGTCTTCTGCAACAGCATATAACTTCCATCTTCCATTTTTTTTTGTATTGTCAAGGTCTCTCTGCTAGCATATCGGCTGAAAATCTAAAGTAGTGTCCTGTGATAATTGGTTGTGCACTAAATGTAAGTCAGAGTAATTTACTTGTCTTAAACAAGATAGAAGTGGTAATTTAAAATAAAACGTTTTATTTTGTTGCTATTTTACTTTATGACCTAAAACGTTGTTGCGTATTCTCTTAGACTCAGCGAAATCGTTGTTTTCGACTTGGGTCCATAGATTCCAGCACCAGCTTCTTCACTGGTTTTTGAACCATCTGTATACCAAACGAGTCCAGCATGTATGCAAGGTTCTTGTTTCCAGGATTCTCAGGCTGGTTATTTGAATTTGAAAATTTATTTTAAATTTGTATGTGGTTATGGCTATCAGTAGGCATCCCTAGAATCTATCCTTTTTTACTTGCTGGTATAGCCTTGTATGGTCGGCGCTATGTAGTTGGCTCTTTTGGCAATTCAAGGGTGTCTACCTGTATTTGACAAAGATGTTTTGTCTTTTAACCCTATAATGTTGTACATCTCTTTATAAAATGGAGGAGGTATTCTTGTACCTTTATGTAAAAATATTTTTGCTGATACTTTACTGATGTTACTGCAAACCCATCTTTCATTCCCATTGCTATATTTCTATATTTATCCAAAGCTTATTATTTGGTTTTTTTATCGTCAAATAATTTTTTATATTTATCAGAGCCACGTAGTTCTAATTGTTTTCTGGTTGCCAATATATCTTTTTCAGACGATTTGCCTTTACTACTTTAAATTTCGATTTTTTTGGACTATTCTTACCACAAATAATTTTTTTGTTACTTAAGGATGAACACCAAAAGGTATTAACCTACCTTTTCTAACTGCTATTTCAAATGAATTCATTGTAAACTCAAATCTGATGATTTAACCTTTTAATAAGCGTTGACAAAAAAATATAGATGTGCCACAATAGCTTATCCAATTAAAATTAACCATTTGCAAGTGCATCAGAAACAATATCGCTCTCATGGAGAGTTATTTCGATTTATGCGCATCTCGTGCGTCGCAACTCGGGCGGAATCCTTAATTTTTCGCATTTCGGGCGGAAGGCTACAGGTAGATTTAATACCCTTCGCAACTCGGGCGTTCAAGGATCGGTACCTGAGAAGGTGCTTTCGGCTTAAACTTAAAATTATATACGGAGTGCCATACAGGAGGAGCTTGCCAGTTTTTAAATATTATGTAACTTTCATGAAACAAGATTTTTTATTTATCTTTCTCTGCGAACATAATCTTTACATTACATTGTTATGACATTTGAAATTGTAGTTTTTACTGAAAAAAGTATAATTTATTTATTATATAATTAGATTGATAAATAATAGTGTACCTACCTCGGCTAGCTATTCAATTTTTATTTTAATACATTTTTTATGTAGGGTGTCTGTGTAAGTTGGCTACATATGGAAAACTTTTTTTTATTAGTTTTATCAAAAAAAAATATTTAGCATAAAGAGTTGTGGATGGTCTAAAACCTAAAATACATCACATTTTTGAGCCGTATACTAGGAGAGTATATGGAAAACTTTTTTTTATTAATAATTTTATGAAAAAAATGTCCTCATAAAAAATTGTGCGTGATCTCAGACCTTAAAATACAACCATCATATATCAAATTGTATAAGTCGTATACGAGATTTGTCAAAAATGAATGTACTTTACTCTTGGCCAAAAATATTTTTTTTGACAAATCGTATACGACTCATAAAAATTGATATCTAATGGGTGCATATAAGGTTTTAGACGTTTAGTTTATTTTTTAAACTAAATATATACGTTATTTGAATATTAATTATTTAACTATATTTTAATATTATATTTAAACGTTGTTATGTAACTAAAAGTTAATCATTTTGTTAAATATATATAACATGTAAAATATTATTGTATTTCAACCTTTTTAACGTTTGGTTAATAATGTAAACCAAATATCTACGTTAATTTAATATTAATTATTCTAGTTTATTTTAATATTCTTTTTAAATGTTATTATGTACTTATGGTTCAACCGAAAGTTGGATATTAAGATACATACCCGTTTAATATTAACGTTTCTTTAAATTACATAAAACTCGTAATAAAAACGTTATTGTATCGAAACACTTTGACGTTTTGTTTATATTTTACCTAAAAATATTAATTATTCTACTTTATTGCAATCATATTTTTAAACATTTTCATTGATTATACTTGAAATATTAAGTTGGTTTATGTTTGTTATGTTGTAAATGGCCAAGATTTGAAAATTTTCTCATTTGTAAGAAGAGAAAGAAGATGGGTTATGTTGTAGTCATTTTATTTTAAGTACTATAATTCTATATTAGAGAAAACCATATATTCTAAATAATTGGAAGTTTGCGTCTGTTGTTTGATACATTTCTGAAATATCAGTATGTTATATTTCTGATAGGTTTCAAATTATTATTTATAAAATATATGAAATATTACATTTACAGGATATTTTTACAATTTAGGAATGTTTTATAAATGTTTCTGAGGCGTTTCGTAATATTTATATATTATTTTATCATATTCATGATTTCCTTAAAATGGTCCGTATTCGAGAATTTTGACAAAAAGTGCAAAATTCGAATTTTAAAGAAAATTCTTCAAATAAAAGTTGCTTAAAATGTAATTCTCTATAATTTTTGTTTCATACATTTCTATAAAATAGACCGAATTCGGGAAATTTGAGGTAAAGTGCAAAATTCGAATTTTTCTCATTTTCACTTATAATACCCCTAGTGACCAAATTATTTTCGGAAATATTTTAGAAATCGCCAATAGTTTGAAAATGATCCCAATATCATGCTCTATATTTTTTATTCTACACATGATTTCTCTAAAATAAACCGTAATGGAAAAATCTTCAATTTTTTTACATCAACTAACTTTTCAATGCTCGCTATCTGTTAAAATCAAAGCTTATTCTCCGATGTCATTTATTTCTCTTAAATTTTTGATAATGCATTACTACCTGAATCAGATTGTAATCAGAATCAGGGTACATAAACTATGGTCAAATTTCATATCCCGTCGACGCCCGAGTTGCGAACTCACAGGTGCACAATTTTGGAGGGCGCCCGAGATGCGACGAATTCAGGTAGTTTTATATTACGCCCGAGTTGCGAACGCACGAGTTGAGAAAGTACCGTTATTTCAGTTAACTGCATTTAAAATTTTAATATTTTTCATAGTACCTAAATGGTGTTTTCTTTGGTAAATACAAAAATTTCCAAATAAAACAAACCGTATAACCCTAAACACTGAAAAATGTAACTCTTCGTAATTGTTTGCGCTTGCTCGATGTGTTACATGTTTTGGTAACATAAGTATGTTCTAGTAAATTATGGTAAGCTTACAAAGAAATTCCATTAGTACGACACCCATGATATTGTGAAGAAATGATTCAGTAACCAATCTGAAAAATGTTTTAATACTTAGTTATTTATGACAATAACCAAAAAGAATTTTAAACATTTTATATTTCATAAGTTAACTCAAGTAAATCGTGATTAGATCACCATTAAAATCTTACTACAACTGAAATTACAAACCCCTCTTTTGACATTTATCTACAATTACGAGTTTTTGTTGTTTGGTGAAAGGTATCCACTTTCAAATAAGTAACCTCTTCAATGCAATTTTATTTTTAATATTATTACGTAATGTAAATAGTATTTATTTTTAAACATTTAAATACTGAACGTTAAATTATTTGGATTGTTTTCATGTTTAGAGTATCACTTTGACATTATCAAAAAATGTGAATTATTTCTGAACTTTTGCTGTATATGCAATATCTGAATATTTTAATAAAATGTAAACCTACAAAACGCACAAATAATAATATTCTTTTGTATAACAGGTATGATCGCGATCGCTCATACCTAAAACGACTAAATTAATTATCTTCCCCAATAAGTTCATCCTGTTAAAAATAAATCGTCTTATATAATACAAATTTATTTTTTATATCCTACTCATATTTTTTAATGTTTGTTTCAGGAATTTTTTGCTACTTGAACTACCTTACCCCCAAAAGAAGAGAAGAAATTTTAGAATTGTTAGTTAATGGTTTGAAACGACTAGAATACCGTGGATATGATTCAGCTGGTAAATAAAATTAATAATTAATTAATTCAGCAGGTTACACATATCAAATTTAACATACATTATTTTTCTTAACCGTTTAGAAAGATTCCATGATATACTTTTGGACACGCATTCTACATACGTGGTTTAATGTTTATAAAACTTTTATATTACTTACAGTAACAATTATTGCGTTAATAAAATAGGTGTAGCTGTCGATTCTGCAGACTCCAAGGATACCTGCATTATTAAAAAGAGCGGGAAGGTTGCTTTGCTTGCTGAGGAAATAAAAAATCGTAAGTTGTTTCTACATACTCTTTTTATATGAGTTAAGCCCGTCATTTTTCTGTATTTCAAATAGTCAAAATCAGAAATTAACATTTTTTAGGAATCTTGAGTTTCACAGCAATAAAAGTTCTAACAGCTTAAATAAGATTGATTAAAAAATGAAATATTATTTGTTCTATTAAATAAAACAATATATTTGTTCGCAGAAAGAATCCTAATCTAATTCAGAACTACTAATTCATACTTTAAGTGCATGCCCAATTCATTATCAAATTTGAATTTTTAAGCAATACTTATATACTCACATTTGCTTTTAAGCGATAGCGAAAGTCTGGCAACAAAGTATTTTCTTTGAAACTAATGAATATATAATAATAATTATGAATTTGTAGGGTGATGAATGGGACTATTACATTATTATTTTTTTTTTTGCTAATTCTATACATACAAGGTAGCGAAAAAGTCTAGTAACAAAGTATTTTAAGTTGATAATTGGGATTGTAAAGTCTCGGAAATACCCCAAGACCATTCGCTCTCTTTATTGTTTAAATATAAAATGGATGAAACAAAAAGTTACTAGATTTTGGCACGTCATAGATTAATAATTACATCATGTTATGTCAGGTGGCAGTTATCAAAATAATTTTGAATTTGTCAATTTGTTAAAAATTTTTATATTTTTAACCGACTTTAAAAAAGGAGGTTATCAATTCGTCGCGATATTTTTTTTTTTTTTTATGTATGTTCATCGATTATTCTTTAACACGGTGTCCGATTTCAATGATTCTTTTTTTGTTAGAAAGGGGGTACTGCAGGGGTGGTCCCATATAAATTTAGTCAAAATATAATAATTGGGTCCATGAGAAAATCCTCAAACTCTTCATTTTTTATGTATGTTTAGCGATAATGCTTTACCACCTTGTCCGATTTATATGATTCTTTTTTTGTTAGAAAGGGGCTACTTCAGGGGTGGTCCCATATAAATTTGGTCAAAATCTAAAAATTGGGTCCATGAGAAAATCCTCAAACTCTTCATTTTTTATGTATGTTTAGCGATAATGCTTTACCACCTTGTCCGATTTATATGCTTCTTTTTTTGTTAGTAAGGGGGTACCTCAGGGGTGATCCCATATAAATTTGGTTAAGATGTGGTGATGGCATCTGCACGTTTTTGAAGTCGGTTTTTTTAAATTTTTAATTTACACTTGTGATATTTCAAAAGTTGTTTTTAAAATTAACCAAGCTCTGTATCATACAAGGAATGTGAGAACTTACTAAGTATGTTTCAGTATGCCTCAGTTTCTCCAAAGGTTTGCGTTCAAGATAACGCTCGGGCTCACACTGATGCTCGAACAAATGAGTATTTGAATGCCCAAAACATAGAAATAATGGGTCATTCGGCATACAGTCCAGACCTATCACCTAATGACTTCTTATTCCCGCGGGTAAAAGATAAATAAACGTTTTAGATAGGCCGAAGAAGCAGTTGATCCCTTTAAAAATTAAATAAACAAACTACGAGCAGAAGAATGAAGAAAAGGTTTTCAAGAATGGTTTTTGCTGATGCAAAATGCGTTGACTGTGGAGGAGAATACTTAGGAAAAATTATAAATAATTGTTTTTGTAAATAAACTGTGTTTTATTTTACTAGGCTCCTCGGAAAGAAAAGAGCCCTCGTATTATCAATATTAATCTGCGCACATCGATATCCCAACTTGAATTTCTGCTCCAACAGCAAAACAGTCTATTTAGAGATTAACTGGTATTTGTTACGACAGCAATGCCTTCGCCATTTATTAGACTGATGCATTGTCTCTGGATTCTTCCGGTATATTCTAGAATATTCCAAATTAATGTATCCACCAAATTTTAAAACTCAGTGGTTCACAACGATTGACCATGACTAACCACAGTTGCACAGGGGGAGTTTTGGAGGTTTACTCACTTCATCAAATATTCTTAGGGAAAATGAATGTCGTAAAAGGCCCAAATAAGGCAGAGAGGAACTTAAAGTATTGGACTGGTTGAAAATGGCTCGCACGACAGAAACCTCTGAGCATCTCGATATTCCGGGTATCAATATAACCGATTTAGAACCAATAAAGAATGGAATCATTTCTACAGCGAACGCCGAATTAGAACCAAGAGATCAGTTTTAACTATTGCGCAAGCGAAAAGTTACTATTTATTCACAATTAGTTCAGGATTCTTATCGCGAACGAAGCTAATGTCAACAAGAAATATATGTAACATTTAATTTGGAGGTTCAAAGAAACTTTTCGGTATGTCATAGCAGTATTTTTAAAAAATGTATCTGGGTATTTCCAAAGAATTTAGCTAACTTTGTTTTCGAATCAATAGCCGATAGTTTTTAACCGATTTCAAAAAAGGAGGAGGTTATCAATTCGTCGCGATATTTTTTTTATGTATGTTAAGCGATAATTCTTCAACACGGTGTCCTATTTCAATAATTCTTTTTTTGTTTGAAAGGGGGTATTTCAGGGGTGGTCCCATATAAATTGGTCAAAATATAATAATTGGGTCTGTGAGAAAATCTTCAAACTCTTTATTTTTTATGCATGTTTAGCGATAATGCTTTACCACCTTGTCCGATTTATATGATTATTTTTTTGTTAATAAGGGGATACCTCAGGGGTGGTCCCATATAAATTTGGTTAAGATATGGTGACGGCATCTGCACGTTTTTGAAGTCGGTTTTTTTAAATTTTTAATTTCTAATACTTGTTTTGGAACTTTAAACCGATTTTTCTTTCTGTTTAATTATTAATTTTGAAGGACCAGACAACCGGCTTATGGAGAAATGGCCTTCGGTGAAATTTCCTGAATTTTTGATATCTTGCTGTTGTCAATTTCCTGAACAAGTAGGGCACAACTCAATCATAAAACTAGTTTTTAATATACACATTGTTGACTTTGCAAATTGGTCATTTTTAAAAAGGGCATGTCTCTTAACAATTTTAACAATGATTACGGATATTTTTCGAGAATAACGCTATACTGATATCAACAATATTTCCAGTTATAACGTATATTATTATTAGTTAAAGGGTTACTCATAAATTACTTTAGTACGAGAAAATTCTCCAAATTAATATCACGCTGAAATAAGCCTTGACTTAAATTATCAAAATTGGGGACTGTTACATTCTATACAGGAAGAGTCAAAAAGTTGGTAAACCATGTATGCTGTTTTTAGTAAAATTTTACCTATTTTATTGTAACGTTTATTTAATTTATTTATCGTTTATTTATTTAAAATACTTTATTTATAACTTACTAATTAATTTATATAATACTTAGGCACTATTATAACTTGCACAATTCTAATTTATTTATTACAATTTATCTTTTCTGTCCAACACTTAAATTGAATCTTATCTTCCATTGACAAACTCGAGCTATTTATATAAAACCAGCTCTGTACCAGAACACTCTAGGCGACCCAGAAAGTTCTGGAACTCCCTTTCTATGACACATACGCCGCATAGAGATCACTCCGGTAGCCTCTCAAAGCAGTGCGTTTGTCCTGCGGTATCGAAATAGGCGAAGCGACATCTGTATAGGCAGCGGATGGTCAGAGTCGGCTTAGGGTGGTTCAAGACATATCACGTGTTAATAATAAATCTTAAACCATTTTAAAATATGTTTAGTTTATAAACCATATACAGTATAATTCAAAAAATATGTATCCAGAAAAATCAGGAAAAAATGCTTTTTCCATGTCTCGCCCTATATTTAAAAATTTCGTAGGTTAAATTGCGTAATTTTTACCTTTATTTTGATTTTGCTAATAAAGTTTAAAAATTGAATGAACTTACTATGATCAGTTTTTGAGATATAAGGTGGTAAACTTGGTAATGGCAGATTTTACTCGTTTCTTCGCCACTCACTCCCAGAAGTAGTTTTTTGTGCCCAATTGCAAGAAGTATTCTATGGTTTCTTTATACGCTAGACATAAAAAAAATGTTCAGTATCCATCTACAATACTTTAAATCATGGGTCGGCAACCTTTTTTTGTAAGAGGTCCAAATATTTTAAGAGGGGATAGGCCTTTTCATTGATTTATCGACTATTTACTGTTGGATTTTAATTAACAGTGCTGTTCCTAAAGTGGCGCAGGGAAACAGTAACAAAGCGAATACAAAACAAATCAGTTACAGACTATTTCTGTCAGACGGTCATGGCTATGTTGATAAATATTAGCGGCAGATAAAATATTTGATTTTTACAATGAGATAAAGTGTATCGCTAGGGTAATGCATGGCTTTATTGACGGTTGGCGATAAAATAAATTATTTAGTGTTTTGAGGATCAACATGAAATTTTTAGTCATATCACTGTGTATACCGAAGTAGTATTTAATATTAAAAAAATATTGTGTAATACCAGCAGGTAATACATTAAAATAAATATTTTTTTCAGGGTTAAAAATGAATCCAAAATAATATACCTGTCGACCCAACTGTTGACAAAATGGAAATGGCTGGACATTTTTTCACCCATAATGCACATTTTGAACATGTCTTAATGTGTATTTTGCCTGATGATTTGATAATTTTTTTACGATATTGCAGGCAAAGGCGTTGGAAAATTAATAAAATAATATGTATTGCCTTTGAATGATTTATACGGTTTGTCACTTTTATCAACACCGTTTTGTTGTTCCTTTCCGTACGGATAACATAATTTTAATTGATTGCAAAAAATTATTTTACAATAAGGACACTTATTACTTATGTGGTGCATTGAATTACTTATAAAATTAGTCATCGTCTTAACCAAGTTTTATACCTCATATTTTAAAAAGTGATCATGGTAAGTTCATATAATTTTTACACTTTATTAGCAAACTCAAAATACAATACTTATTTTTTCTTGTTAGGCATGCGACTAGTATATAAGTTAAATAAAATGGCAACAGCCAGTCGTCAACTAGAATTAGAAGATATGGTGGTTTGATATTAGCCGAACCGAATGTCAGTTACAAACCAGAGAGCATAGCGATAGCGGGAATATCGTAGTTGCCACATGTTAGCTGTGAAAGCACGGCTATGCCTAATACAAAGTAATAAGCATTGTATGTACTATGAATGTGATTTTACATACATTTTTGTTTTTATATGACCCGAGTTGGTTTAGATAAGTATATTTTAATATTTTAAATGCGTACTGCTTGTTTAGTATAATTCTGTGTACCTATTTTTTAAGTAATATCTGTTTTCATTTAGATCTGCATGTTGCATTGGGTATCATTTAGAATAATAATTATGTAGTGTACCTACAGAGCTTGGGAGGATTCGAATCACATAAGATTCGAATCCTGGGATTCAAATCCTTTTTGAGGATCCGCGAGCGTTATTCGAATACTTAAGAAAAAAGTATCTGTGATCCGGATTCGCCGAAGAAATTCCTAAGGATTCGTATTCGAATCACCAATATTAGTCTCGGATCCTTTTAGAGACCAAACTAAGACGGTGCAAATTGTCGACTCACGCTTTGACTTGTCGTGAATTGTAAACTGAAACAGACCGATTGTTAATATTTAGAAGATAAACGTAAGAATCTACAAATTAATTTGAAGAAGGCAGCAGAGCACCTAGACAATTTTGAGTTGAAACCTATGCCATATTTTTAGGCTATTTTTATAACCTATTCAAAAATTTTATGCCCCTCGTTTTTTACAAAAATCAAGGTTCTCTGCTAGCTTCGAACGAAGCCAGCAGAGCACCACGGTTTTTTAAAGCTTTTTTTTTCTAAATACAACCACACCGCATTTTTAGACGATTTTTAAGCTCTTGAAATATTTTAAAACTTTACTAAAAATTGCTATTTTTAAATAATTCAGGATGCTTTGCTAGAACAAAGTTATCAGAGCACCTCGGTTTATTTTTAAGCTATTGCATAGCTTTTATCGCGGGCTTTGAGTGGCGACCGAATCAAGAAATTTCGTAACACCGTAACGAAAAAACCTAACACCCCCCACTCCGACCGGCACAGCGGTACGGCGTTATAGCCATGGAAGGTTTTATCCGACCCTATTCGTATTAGTATGAAGCGGAGTTAAATATACGTCTGCGGACTGGAACATTTATGCAATACAAGAACTAGAAGAGCTTTCTCTGGCTTCTAATAAATTGGTATCACAAATGTTTTGCAAGATTTATATAGTATATTATATTTCCAAACAAAAAAAAAATCTGGTCCCGCCGGGATTTGAACGCGGTCGCTCGCCAGGTCTCAAATGGCAAAGTTGATAAGTTTGACGCTCTCATCTAAGCTAATAGGCCATGCGTCAATTTAATGATCTAATCGGTTATATGTTTAACCAGAATAAAGAGCAAACATATCTTAGTTATTTTAAAATTATTTTAATAATAATTGTTAAAGATAAATATCTAGGATCTAATTTACAATAATTTCAATAATTTAACAATCATATCGATTTTAGTATTAATATGGACATTACAAATATCAAAATAGAAATGATGCATTTGACATTTTGTGACAGCTACTGCGGAAAGTAGCATATTCGTACACGGGTGGAAAGTAAATTATTATTCATACGCGTGTGATATAGGGCACTTTCCATAGGACTATATAGTGTGATATGTGTCACTTTCCTAAGTGGTCTTAGGAAAAAATATTAATTTTTAAGCTATTACATAGCTCAAGCTCAAGAAATTCCGTAACGAAAAAACCTAGCACCCCCCACTCCGTCCGGCACAGCGGTGCGGCGTTAAACACTATTAACTTCTCATTTATTCAATAAAATAAAATCGAAAAAGAAATTCCGTAACGAAAATAAACCTAACGCCCACCACTCCGACCGGCACAGTGGTGCGGCGTTGAAATCCGTGCATTGTCTAACGTCGTTTCAGTTCGGCAGACTTTGGCACAGTGTTTGTGTGCGTGCGACTAGACGTATGCGTGTAGACTAGCTGCTAACTGCTCATAACTGATTCTATCTCTTTTAGACACAATTTCGGAAAAATTGAATTTGAAAATGAATAATGATCCACAAGAATCCACAACAAAATATGGGAGGCCAACCAAAACACATTTTTATTTCATTGTTTGTTTATTTTGTTTTTTGTATTAAAATAAAATATATTTTTTGTAGATTCTAATTTATTTTTGGTTCATATTTATAAAAAAAAAATAAGTTTATTCTTTTCAACATCTTCTTTTATCAACCATTTGTATGCAAATCATAGTCGATATTGATATTAGATTCGGAAGCATGCATAATACCATGGTATGACGCTGACAGTGATTCGTATTAGTGATCCGAAAAAATGGATTCGAATCACTTGATTCGAATCCTTTTTTATTGCAAAAAGGATTCGGACATATGATCCGTGATTCGGATCACATCTCGTGATTCGAATCAATTTTTTGAGGATTCGTCCCAGCTCTAGTACCTAATTGAATAAATAAAAGTATAGTGAAGGTAAAAAAATACGCAATTTTACCTACGAAATTTTTAAATATATGGGGAGACATGAAAAACGCATTGTTTCCTGTTTTTTCTCGTTACATATATTTTGAATCATACTTTATAATATGTTTTATAAACTGGTTTACAGTCTGTTATTAACACGCGATATAAAATAGATAACATTTTATTAAAAACTACTCAGGGTCTACCAACTTTTTGACTCGCCCTGTATAGAATGTAAAAGTCCCCTATTTTGAATATTATAGTTAGGGCTATTAATTTGGAGAATATTCTCATAAAAATTAAAATTATATTTTCAATAATTTGCAACTAGCTGTAATCACAGTAGTTTGTTAAGAGGTACACCTATTTTAAAAGTAGCTAATTTTTATCAAATATCAAGAACTAGTCATAGGGATTGAGTTGTGCTTATGGACAATATTGTTCAGTAAGTTGACAACAGCAAAATATTAAAAATTCAAGAAATTTCATCGAGCCCATGTCTCCATAAATCGGCTGCTTGGTTCTTTTCGAAAGCAAAAACGCAGTCCTCAATTTGCTTGTTAAGTCGCCGCACGTAACTAAGTACCTAATTGATATTTTAAGTGAGTAATGATTTGGACGTCGAAAAAACCGTGGACATCCATTGCGCTATTGCTCACACCCGTTGGGCAACTCATGGTGTTCCTAACGAAATCAATAGCCATCCACAGAGATCCGATCCAAACAATGGGTTCGTTGTCGTACACAATGGCATATGTACTAATTACAAGGAAGTCAAAGTTTTTCTACAAAAGAAAGGACACTCTTTCGAAAGCGAAACCGACACGGAAATCATCGCCAAATTGATCTACCACTTCTACAAACAGCATCCTAACTATTCGTTCAGGGAACTTGTCGAGAATGTCGTCCAACAATTGGTAAGTTATGAGGTCCTTACTTAAGGTAAAATCACTAGAAATTCCGGTTATTTTTTTCTTTGAAAAGCTTAAGGTGAACACAGCACCCCTTATAATTTTCGGATAAGGATATTTCAAAAAGTAATTTTGTTAAAAAATTTAAATTTTGTCAAAATAAATTAGGTAATATTATCTAGTTATGCATATATTTTAATATTTTAAATCCTTTCAGTTTCCGAGAAAAAATCAAAGCTTTAAATTTTAAAATATCACAATGAAAATAAATGCATTCCTCAACAGCGCTTTTCTTAATATAATTCCGAAATTTGAGCTCTTAATCTCTTGTTAATGAATTTTTAAAACTTGCCGAAATTAGTGGCTTAAACGCCTCGTTAAGTGCTGCTATCTGGTGTAACGCGTCTCGTACACTCTCAGTCATCATTCGTTTCTTGCAACGATTTACATCAGAAGATAGCACTTAACGATGCGTTTTTGCCACTAATTTTGTCGAATTTTAAAAAATCATTAGCAAGACATTAAGAGCTTAATTTGGGGATTATATTAAAAATAGTGCTGTTGAGGAACGCATTTATTTTCATTATGATATTTTAAAATTTAAAGCCCTTTGAGTTTTTTCTTAGAAACTGGAAAGAAATTAAACTTTAAAATATATGCATATTCTAGATACGGTGCACCTGAACTGCGGAAAAGATAATCTGGTTCTATAATCCAACACCCGAATTGCGGAAACAAAATAGTTTAACCTGGTCTGTACAATCTAAAACACCCGAACTGCGGAAACTAGTCTGCGAAATAATGGTAGCTTATGGAAAAGAAAAAACGACCAGGGGACCTATTTTCAAACTCGAGAGAATTCATTTCTCTCAAGAGAAATGTCATACGTCAATAAAAAACAGTATTTTTAGGGCTCTTAGGGCTAGTGTGAACTCACTGACTGTTTCTCTCGGTTTATTTAGAGATAATTAAAATTCTCCCAAGAATTTTAATCCTCGATGCCTTTAAAAACAGCGTTTCGACATTGACATATGACATTTCTGATGAGAATCTTGAGAGAAATGAGTGCTCCCATACTTTGAAAATAGCCCCCCCTGGATACCTATTCTCTAACTCATGGGAGCACTCCTATACTCCCATGCTCCCATACTCCTAGTCGGAATTGGGTAAGTTGTCCTTGAACGCAAATCGAAATTCGGAAATATCGCGTGAATTTAGAGATGGGTAGTAACAAATCCGTAAATGTACATAACAGTTACAGATTTGCTAATATTCATCTTTAAATTCTAGTCTAACACCAGAACCACCTAGAACTTTAGAGACGTTGTAACCGAACTTCGATTTTAGTTCAAGGACGACTTTCCCAAGTCCGACTCAGGTAAGTTTTGCTTTAAAATTATATAGATTTTTTTTATAAAAACACATGTGAACGAGTGACACGTGACATAGCAGAAAGTTACAATGTTAAAATCATTTTTAAGTATTTTCTTTTAACGATTATGTAAAAAAAAAATTGCGAAATTGTCCAGATAACCAGTTTTCGAGACATGGCCAGACGCCGCCCTTAACATTTTTTGTAATGTACTCCCCCGATCTTTTCACAAGGGTTAAGTAAAATAGGCAAATACATCGATGTGTATAAATGAAATTTATTACAATTTGGCGAGCCCTTTACAAAACCTTCATCATAGCATTCGTCCGGTAGATACATTTACAAAAAAAACATTGACAAATACAAAAAATTATATATAGATTACTCATTGTTGATAGTTCAACAAAAAACGTTTCATTTCAAGTGAATTAAATATGCACTAACAACGACGAATCGAATCGCGTCTTCTCTCTAATGGGTAGACATTTTCCTCATCTGTAAGTCGAGGCATCCCACAGCGCCACGACACATAAAAATACTCATTCCCTGCACAAGCTTTGATTTTTAAAGGATTCACTCGTGAGGGGGTAAATTATAGGGATATTACTGTTATTATTATTCACACATATATGTTGAATTACAAAAAAACAGCAATATTTTTTTAAATTGTAAATTTGCTTGTTTTTTCTTCTAGGGTAGATTAGCAGCTCCGCAAAAAAGATTTTTCGAATGAATCTTTGAAAATCCTCTTCATATCTCTCAAAATTTATCGATAATATTAATTTTAAATTTTTGTAGTTGACGATGTGAATTTTAAATAACTGGCTGCCTATAATAAAAATTCCTAATTCATTATTATACTCTTCACATAGTAGTCTGTGTAGATTATTATAGGTTTACTTCCGTCCGTCCGATGTCACGTATTTTGTTCGCACGATAAGTCAAAAACGAAAAATGATATCTTGAAAATTTCAGAAAAAAACAAGCTCTATAAGGACAAAGCCGGGTTAAGGGGATTGAAATTAAAAAAAAAATCCCAACTCAAAAACGAAAAAAGACATTGAGATGAAATATTTTGCAAAAATCAAGCTCTATGAGGGGAAAAGCCCTTTAATTTAAAAAAAAATTGATTAAAAATGAGGGTTTAAGGGGGGTTGAAATTAAAAATAATATGTAAATCAAAAATGAAAAGCGATAACATCATGAAATTTTTAGTAAAAATCAAGCTGTATAAGAGAATGAAGCCTATTAATTATGAAAAAAAAATCTGAATAAAAATGGGGTTAAGGGGGTTGAAATATTGAAAAAATTGAAAAAAAATCCTTATAGATAAGCAAAAAAAGATATTGATTCTGAAAAAAATCTGAATAAAAATGAGGGGGTTAAGGGGGTAAAATTAAAAAAAAAATCTAATCAAAAACGAAAAGCAATATTAACATGAAATTTTTAGTAAAAATCAAGCTATAAAACAAGATTGAACCTATTGGTTCTGAAAAGAATCTGAATTAAAATGAGAGGTTGAAATATAAAAAAAAATCCTAACTCTGAAACAAAAAACGATATCATTTTGAAATATTTAGGAAAAATCAAGCTTTATAAGCGGATGAAGTCTATTAATTCCAATAAAAATTTAAATAAAAATGGGTTAAGGAGGTCTGTTAAACTGTGAAGGGTATGATATAGAATACCATTCTAGTTTTTTTACTTGGTTAGTTGGTTACTTTTTATAAATTAAAATGCAAAAACTCAAAACCCCTTGATTTCATTTAAGCGATACCCCGCGCATAAACCAATTGTAAGAAAGTTCATGTATGTGTCAGTTTGAAAATGTTTAATTAAAAATTACTACAAAAGTTAAATAATTAAGATATGTCAATTAGGACAAAAATACAATAACTAACCACTGAAAAGCTATGCTTTATGAGAAGAAAACGCAAATATTCTCCTTTCGGAGGTAATAAAGGGTGCCCAAATTTGACCTTCGGATTTAATTTAATAATAAAACAAAAAGTCCTTGAAATAATGTAATATTATTTTAAAGTTTAAAAGTTACGGTTCATATTGAAAAATGATATCCGACATCTGACCCCTCTGCTTCTTTAGTATGCTAACATTCTTTTTACAAAATTTTCAAGAACATTTTCACAAACACTTTGTTCAATTTGTTCATTTTTTTGAATGTTAACTCGAAGCTGTTCAGGTGTTTGAGGGTTATTAGCATAAACTTTTCCTTTCAAAAAGCCCCACAAGAAATTATCCAGTGGTGTAAGGTGGCATAACCTAGGCTTACAATAATTAACCTCAGCTCTTCGAGAAATTATTCGAATGCTAAATCTCCCTCAAAAGATTTAGTGTTTTATCCGATGTGTGGCAAGTGGCGCCGTCTTACTGGAACCACATGTTCTGGACATCCATATCTTCTAATTCGTTCCACAAATAATCTCGTAATCATTGTCCTGTATCGCGCTCCATTCACAGTTATCGGATCACCAGCTTCATTCTGAAAAAAAATATAGACTAATAACGCCCACTAGACCAAAAACCACACCACACAATCACATTTCCTGGATACAGTTGTGTTTCCAATATTTCTCTTGGATTTTCTTCACCCCATATTCTGCTGTTGAAATTTCTTCATAAACCTCTTAATAACTTTAACATATGGTGCTAAATTTCGTCCGAAATGTGTAAGGCATCTTCTTGCAGTTTCAGCAAAACATTCCTTATTTTTATAATAAGTTTTCACAATAAAAACGGGGTTTTCGATAGACAGTTGTTCCATGTTGACCAAAAAACAAGTGACTGCAAAGTTTTTACTTGAAATATGTCACCATAGAAATACTGTCAATGAAGATTATCAAAAATGGCGGTCAATTTAAATCGGAATATCAAATTTGGGCACCCTATATTTGGCAACTTTGTAATAAAGTGTAGTTACTCTATTGGCCAGTTTTGAGCGGGAATAAAATTCAATAACAGTTTTTTGTAATACCAATTTTCTTCCAAATGTCTTATTAAAAGGGCAAATGATGGTTTTCTTAAAAAACTGAAGACCTTTATTGATTGTTTCTACATAAATAGGATTAAAAATGTCAATTCGTTGTTATAGTCTATTACTAAATTATTGTGAAACTATTTACTTTAGTAAACGGGTATCACATGTATCAATATTCTTTTAGGAAGGTGCCTTCGCTTTGTGTTTCAAATCAAAATATTTCCCAGGAGAATGCGTGGCCACCCGTAGAGGTTCCCCTCTGTTGGTTGGCATTAAAACTGTTACTCGTCTTGCCACTGACCATGTGCCAATTTTATATGGAAAGGGTAAGTTAAAACATTTTTTCATCTACCAATTACGATGACTAATAATTACTAATACAGTGAATATTTTGATGTAACAAATACGAGCTTCTAGATAATTGGTTTTATTTCAGTATAGAGTGCAATTTTTAAACTTTTAAATTATTGATTAATATATGAGTGGAAGATGTAGACAATAATCTTGTTCGTCATAGGTTTCAAGTACTTTATCTTTAAAACTAAATTAATTTGTTATTTTTCAAAAAATTTTGAAAAATAAAAATCTTAAAATCGATGTATTTGTTAGTTTTTCAAAAATTCACTGTAACCTTAGATTTTCTATTATCCTCTTACATATTTTTTGGGACCAATCAGGACTAAGGTAGTAGGCAGGCGTTCGTGCATGAAATAGTTGTAAATAATTTTAGAGAAGCTTTATTACTAATATTTTGCATGTAAATATTTTTTACTAAATATAACTAATAAGTCGATTGTTTTAACTTTTGGCTGTTGGTATTTTAAGCTTCATTTTGATTTAATTATTCTTAACTACTTAAAACAAGTAAAGTAAATAATATTGTTTTTAAATATTGTCATTAAAAAATATTTGAAATTTTTATTTAATGAATTAAGTATTAACAAAGTTTTACAATTAATTTTAATGGAAAGTTTTTATTTTTCTACTAAAATAACATTTTCCACTGTGTTGATAATGATACTTTATTTGTTTTAACATTTTTGTTTGAAAAAAGATAATTTTTAATCCCACTGTACAATAAATATTTAATTTTTGTCTTAACAAATGTTTATTAGTTAACTAATCCACTATGATTTCACTAATATGCATGTTTTTTTGTTTTTCTTTTAAAAATAATATTTTTTAGACCTGTTTTTTTATTAACAATCGTTCATTTTAATCAAATATTTTGTTGTTTTCCTTTTTTGTTCCTATGGATTCTTTGGTTACATGTAGAAGCCCCTCCATCACCAACTACAACAGGTATATAATATACATTCAAGTAAAAACTAATCGATTCTTAGGTTGCTTCCATTAACACCTTTTCATCGTTATCATTTTATAGGAAATTTGTTTTTTGAATAAATTACTTGTTTGCCTTAGGTGCTCTATAGACGTTTATGGTTTTAAGGCACAAATTCTTTTATATATTTTTAATTCCGTAAATGTATTTTTTTTTCTACGCCACTATATTATCTATTTTCTACAAAAACTATATATTTAATATGTACCTATGCCATATCAATCTACTAAACGCATATAATTTGAAATCCATTCTAGAATGTTTATGAAATCCATGAATCGCAGTATTCTTTTTTAAATTAGTGACAATTTTGTCACTTTGTTTTTTAATTGTTAAAAGTGAGGGAATATCAGTTAAAGGATGAATTTGAAATTCATATTTTTCAATTGTTGAGGAAAAATATAATTCAAAATTAGTAAAGAATCGATAAATAAAAGCATTCTACTAGATTAACCATAATATTTAAAAAAAATTAATCAAACTATATTTAAAACCAATTCAATTATAAATTTTAAGGAAATAAATTATAAGACATTGGCGCAAAGGTTTAAGTGATGAGTTCCTAAATTCTAATCTTATAGATAAAGATTTTTAGAATAGTTGTTTTATCTTAATTAACTCCAAATTATCTTTTTAAATCTTGTAGATTTTCTTTAGTGGGTCGTGGAAAAAATATACTATGAAACTTGAGTGACGATTGAACATTCCGCTCAACGGCGTATTTATATTTTTTGGTCTTCGTGCAATATGACAATCATATACACTCTTATTACACATACTATAGTCATTATTTCAAATTAACCATTCTTTTAATTGTCAGTTGTTAAAAACAAATTTCTTATAAAATTTAAGTGCTTTTTATCTTTGTTTATTTGTATATGACTACCTGAATGTTTTGGTGTACAGTTTTTTTTTGTATTACATTTGGTAGGTATTAATTGTATTCACTTTTTATAATAGTTTTATAATTCATATTCACTAAGACTTATTTATCGATAGAATCTATTTATTAATTATTTTGTTTACATTTTTGACCAGACATTTCAAATAATTTCAAATAATAGTTCTTGGAAAATATATATATATTTTTTTTATTTTCGCTTATTTATCCAATTTCAAATTATTCCGTTGACTTGTCTGATTATGATTTTTTTTAATTTTGCTTTAAAATTATTACCGAAAGTTTATTTCAATTTTAAATAAATATTTTTGTTAAGAGGTAGTACTTTGGTTGAAGCTAGTGTTTAGTGTTTTAGGATCTTTTATAACAATTTTTTATTCTGTACCTATAGTTTTAACTATTTTTTAACTATATTAAAATGTATTTAAAAATTACTAAGGAGAACGTTATTCTTGGACCTGTTTCGTCCTTATTAGGACATCAGCAAGAAATAGACATTCTTTGGTTAAAATGCCTGTCAAGGTATACAACCAGTGAAGAAGTTGTTTGCCGGATGGGAACGGTCGCTCGTTCATTTCTGTGACACGAACTTTTAAGTTTTTCTTCTTGTCATTAACATCTTGGTTACATTTGAGTTTAGAATTTGCAATTATTTTCAGTTATTTTATGTATTAAAAAGTTTACAAAAAAAGTTAAAATAAAATGTAATTATTTTAAACAATTTCGTATACAACTAAAATAAGGCGTTCCTTAATTATTAATGTCATCCTTTTTTCAATAAAAAAAGCAAACTTTATTTAAAAAATAATATATGACAACGCGTCTCATCTAATGAACCGGCGAAAAAGATAATATAATAAGTTGATATTTACGTATTATTTGACCCTCAATGTAATTATTTTTTGTTACTGATACAAGACTTGAATGGTATCAACCTATAAAAAGAATTAATAGAAGGTAAATACAATAATATAAAAAGTAATTCAAAATTTGTTTCGAAAAATTATCTAACATAGAGAGGCAATATTACAGCGTTTGCTACATCGGTCGACTCGTCAAGTAAGAAATAATATTTTTTTTTATTTTTTAAGTTAACTTTCCACACCATTTTACCAAATTATTAATTGTTCTCCGCTACAATGTGTTGTTTAATAAAGAAGCAATGTCAATTTTCTTTGATGCTTTTTCTCCAAACATACACTTCATTAGCACACGGTCTGTCACTAATGTGCTTGTCCAGATCTTGTAATTCTGCACGGCGATTCCCAACTCGTGTCCGTTATTGCTTGGCCCCGGCAATCACTGACCAACTCGTGCTCGTTCAAAAACCAGATAGAAAATTAATACACCAACTCGTGTCCATGGTTTTTAATTCTTATTAATAATTAAAATATTCAAGACCTAGTTGGCCAGTAATGAAAAACTTATATTATTATTAGTTTTCGATTAAGGTTTACGTACTCTTAATAAAATTTATGTTTTTGATAAACCTTTTATATAATTAGGGAAATGGTATGTACTATCAATTTTTTTGACAAAAAAAATTATAAAAAAATAACCTATTTTGTAAAATAAAGGTACCTATACATATACATGTATTTAAAATAAAACTACTAAAAAACGTATTAATTAAATTTATTGCATATAACAAAATTTAAAACTATTATTAGACACTATTATACCACGATATTGATTTAACTAAATTAAATGTAGTTACTCTTTTATTTTTAGAAAATCATGCTTTTTTTTTGATGAATTTCACATTTATTACAATCTACACTACGACATTTTATGTACGTCTCTTCTTGAATTTTTAATAATATACCTCAACAAAAACAAATAATGGGGTGTGAATTATAAAATGAAATATTTAAATGGCTATGAAATGATTCACATGCATTAGTGGTTCTGTATATAGTAGCTGATGCTTCTGCCCATATATTAGGAGGAAAACGAGCCACGTCTGATATACAATTTTCCACTAAATAATCAACAAATACAGCTAATATTTCGTTGTTGGGCTTTTCTTCTAGGAGTCTAGTCGCTAACTAATTCAGCATCTAAAAACAATTCCAAAGAAGTAACGTAGCCATTTTCCAGTCTAGTCGCTAACTAATTCAGCGTCTAAAAACAATTCCAAAGAAGTAACGTAGCCATTTTCCAATATCGCTTTGTTTGTTTTTATACTCCAATGATAGTCCCAAATTTTGAATTTTTCGCCACCATGCTTGACTTAAGTGGAATAGGCAGCCTATCAATCTAGCATTACTATTTGTTCAGGCATTAGGTTCAAATTATTATCCTTACATATACCAATTAATTTGCGAAATAATTTTATTATGTAGGTGTCTTCTTTTTTATCTCGCAATAAACAAAAAACAAGTAGTATATAATGTACATTACGTAGGCCATGAATAGTAAACAATTGGAAAAAATATTTTGTGCAATACGCAAACGTCCCATCCATGTCCCATCAAATTAGTTTCAGTACAAAATGGGCCCCGTTACGCAACAGGGAACCAATTAACAAAAATGTGTTTCTGAAGAAAATTGAAAATAACATTTTTCTGATCACCTTAAATTATAATCCTTTGAAAAGAAAAAAAAATATTAATTTTTATTATTTTATTTTCTCACAACTCTAGTAAGTCAAGAATCACAAAATTAACTACATTTTTTCATTACAATAAGAAAAAAAACACGTGGTTCCTTGTTGCAGTATTCCTTTTTCGAAGGCATCAGTCTACTTCTATCTCGAAATCTAGCTCCCCATTGTATCCCTGTAGGTCCTCCTCTATTGTATTATCACTAATAAGATTGACATGAAAGGGATGGTCGGCCAGAGGAATTAGCTCTCGGTATCCTTCAGTTTAGCTTCCGCTACAGGCTTTCCATTGGGCCAAAGAGGTTGCAAATGCCGAGAGAATGGTGTTTTTTTGTGGTTTACCCTTTCCCTTTTTAATATCAATTTCTTTGTAATCGGTGTATTCGTAGGTCGTTTTGATAAATATGCTATAGGGTTTTTCTTTTAAAATTTTTATTTCTTTAATCTTTAACCAATTTATCTTTTCTTCCTCGCGGGATTTTTTTTCTATTACATATTTCTTTTTCAAGCTTGAGGGTACTAACAAAGGCTTCCTTTTTCATGGATACTACCTCAATGGGGCGCTTCCTTCTACAGGATTTCATAACTTCGATGTAGTCTTCAGGAGAGTACATTTTAGTATGCCTTTTGAGGGCGCATTCCACATCACCAAAATCACTGTCATTGGGCAAGAAACTGTGTCCCGACACTAAAAACCGTAACTCTATACTTTCGAGGTGTGTGGATACTTCAAGAGCACATTTCAGCAGAAGGACCATTTTAATGTTTCGATTTTGTCCCCCACAGGAGTCACTCCATAATATAAGTTTCTTAACGGTTTTTGAGACATATTTTGCAATTTATAGCAGCAAACAAGAGCCCACCTCTTGGGCACCGCGACCCGCCTGTCCTTCAAGCCACAAGTTGAAAATAGATTTTGCTTCTTTCCCTGCATATATCCCGCAGTTGTAGAGCCACAACTGCCTTTTATAAAATATAATGTTTGTATTAAGACGTGGTAGTGGGAGTGTCTTCTCCATATCAAAAGTCAGTGTTTCTATTTCATTAATTTCGGTTGCTTTCTTAATATCACTGTTCATTTTGTCTCTGGCTTTCTCTGCTTCTGCCAGATGAATGCTATGTTCTAAGCTGACCCTATCTTTCTCCTTTCCTTCTGGTAAATTTTTAATCTTTATAGCGAAAGTATCACACTTGTTACAGGTGTCCTTCTTCGGTTGCTTCATTTTTAAATTGAAGTCATTTAAAAAAATTCTTATAGGAGGAGAAGCTGACTGTATTTACATTTTCATCTTTGTAAAGTTTATACATAATCGTAAGTTTTGTTCCTTCTGCTAAGTAATAATATGCAAAAGAGATCCAAGAAGCATTGGTTCGCCCAAAATACAAACATAACAAATGCTGCCTTGCAATAAAGAACCAACCTTAATTGGATCTTTCTTGAAAAATACAGAAACCACGCTTTAAAATGTTCAGTTGGTTCTTTAGACCAATAGATGGCGTCAGTATCAAATCAGTGCCTGGTTCTTTGTTGCAAAATGTGGGATGCAGTTTTATGGTTTAGAAGAACTGGGTAACTCATTTTCGGCCAAAATGTCGTTTGGTTCCTTGTTGCATAACGGGGTCCAAATACAATTAGATTTATTTCCAAATCATTTATAAGCACAAAATTCTCATTTTGTCAAGTGTATTGATATTGATATTATTTAAAATTTCAAATACCTCTTCGGCACTGGATGGAAGTTTTGGAAACTTTTTGCGTTTTTCATAGTAAATTGATTTTTTGATACAATTTAAATCGTTTATTTTAAGTTCATTTAAATTGGATTCAAAACATTTTCGAATAACTGCTGGGTTTTTCACAAATATCATCAGAGGCCTTTCGTTTAGCAGATGCACTCACTATATGTAATTGAATACTATTTTCTTCTATTTCTGGATGATTGTGTTAACACTTTTTCGGTTATTACACGACCACCAGAATCACCGATTGTTCTAAGAAAGACTTTACACTTTCTATTCACACATACCCACCTAATTTCTCCAGATGCTAACTTTTTGCTGGTTTGATTAAATTTGTACTCTTCTATAATTAATAATATTTTTCCACGTTGACTTGTTACTTCGCGAATCGACATGTTTATTGAGCTGCTCTTACCACAATTACGAAATAAAACTAGCTCATTCATAAATATCAAATCCGAAAGAAAAACTTTCCGGATTTCTACAAGGAATTGTTCAATAATGCCTGTTCCTTAGAATTTTATATTAAATCTTTTAACAGTTCCTAGATAGGATTGGATGTTAATTAGGGCAGGTATATTTTTCAATCGAGCACGAGTTAGGTATACGGATTATAGAGACTTTTACTCTTTTTCCTTTTAAAGGATTAGTGAGCACGAGTTGGGATGCGCCCAATTCTGCAACTAACTCCAAATGATGATTAGAGGGCCATTTTACTATCTTTTCATATAAAGCTGATAGAAAATAAGAAAAACTGCACTTTTTATTACCTGCTGATTTCCTTTTAGAATACTCAACAGGTTTGTCATGGATGTCTTGTTTTAAAGTGTCTGCGAAGAAATTATACTTTTAAACTGCTATTGCCAAAAATTAATTTCAAATTACAGAAAGCTGTTTAGGTTGCGTTGTGACTCCTTCCGCTGAAATGAAAACCGATTTGTAAATAGTCACTGCCATATTTTCGTTTCGTTTCTTTTTTTCTCACTCTTTTCTCCTATTTTTTCAATATCGCTTCCTGTGTTGGTTTCAAATCGGGGACTGAAGTAGAAGCAATAACTGATTGCTCGCCCAGCTTTTCGTCAGATTTAACAAAACTACCCGTATTTATCCAATGATTCATCATAAATTTACACAAGAAGAAATCACTAAACTGCTTTACACAATTAATATTTATGTATGTATGTAACTACTAACTTATTTATTTTTTTGAAATCATTCGAAGTTCGTACGCTTCCCTATCTGACTGCGCCGTTTTTATATCTACAGTCGCTATTTTAGTTCTTTCAAGCGTATTCCGGGAAAGTCTCGGTTCGCTCGATTTAGGTAAAATAGAAATTGACGGGTCGTACGAGAATGCGCTCGCATCGTCAGCGTTGGCGCGTTGTTGCAACGGTTAGCATTTAATAGTCAGCTTAGGGGGTGGGTGGCTCAGTGGTTAGAGTCAACACAGGTTTGACCCCGCTGGTGACAGGATTTTATTTATTGAGCTAAATATTAATAATTTTAAGCATTGGTAGGATTCACCACTCGACCATACACTGTTGGGTTCTAATTAACAGTGCTGTTCATAAAATGGACACTGGGAAATAGTAACAAAGCCTACACCGAACACGAGGCTGGTAACCACAGCAGTTGATGCCGATGATATAGAAGAAAAAAAAGAATAATCCGCCATTACAATATTTATTCGCGTACCCCTTTATAAAGCTTGCGATCACCGTTTAGGAAACGCTAGTCTAGTGTATAACTAACTGTATAAAATTCAAGTCTAAAAAGAATTGTGACATCGAATTTTTAACCCTAACGCAATAATTTACACATTTTTCATCTGTTCATGTATAGGTTACATGCCTTATTTTAGTTACTGCATTCAATAAAGATACTCTAAATACGAAACTATTTGTACCTACGTGAACTGAATGCACTATTTTCAGAAACCAACATATTAAATTTTCCTAAAACATAAGTGGTTTTTCATAAAAAATGTTTTATTTTCATCAACGAATATTACCTCTTAATTTCAAAAATAACTAGGATCAAAGTATCAAATTACTTGAAAACCATGGTGAAAAAATTATGCTTAGAAATTTTATCTTTTTCGATATATTTCTTCTAACCAATTCACTGATACAATCTTTACTAATGCATTTTAAATAGGTGCACTGTCTGATAATTATCATTATTTGCAATAAGGTTTCACAAAAAGTTTTCAAAGAAAGATCACGTAAGTTTTATACAACTTATTTTTTTATATATTTTTCAATTATTTTGAATGCTTATATGTCACATACAATTACTCATATTCATATTTGCTATAATCATTTTGTGCACTGCTTTTAATAAGACTTCAACAGAATATGATAACATCTTTGACTAATGAAATTATAATTCTTGAAATAAATTAAACTTTTTTTAGATTAGCATTCCTACATTTTGATATCTGTTGAAGGACTTTATTTTTAAGTTAAACGTTATTTGTTTTTTTATTTCTTGTTTTTAATGCTGTTTGTTTTGTCCTTTGTTTTATTTATGGGTTTCTCCTGCAGAGGCGGATTCCAATCCAGGTAGTACCTTTTGTTGTTTTTTCTTTTTCATAATTCTAGCTTAAATCGCTTTTAACTTTGGTTTACTTCTTTTATCGAAAGGTGGTGGTTCTTCGTAAGTATTATCATTTAGTAACTAAGATTTATAGCAAAATTGCTGTTTGGTTTTTAATTTTTTCTGTTTAAATCATCAACAAATATCAAATCAACTAATAAATTAAAGAGTATTTGAATCAAAAAGGCTAAGAAAATAAAAGTTTTTTTACAAATTATAAATATTCGTTACTATCATATTTGACAATTAGTTGATTAGATTTTATAAATCATTTTTGGGAATCTATATTTTATCATAGTTTTTCTCAAAGAAACCAGAAGGTGTAAGATAATGAATTTTTTCTAAAAAATATATATATATATATAAATATTTTAGTTTGGGAACGGTATTTTATAAGAAAATTAATTTTTGAGAAAAACTAGTTAAGTAAAATGTTTCTGCTTTAAGGGTACATGTGGAGCATAATATGTCTTTATCACCATGATCCACGATAGAACATAATACAATCATTCACCATATTTAAACTAACGATTAAAGAAGTTTGGTGTAAACAAATTTGTAAATAAAAATAGAATTGGCATTTGATACAGTGTGACCAAGTTTAGAAACAATTTTAATTGTTTATAATTTAAAAAATTTTGAGATATCAATGTCGGGTTATCACATTTTTAATTTTTTTTTTTTTTTACCAATTTCACATTTGTACTTCAACTTCCGTTTACACGTTTATCAAATATTAGTATAGTATAAAAGTGAAATATTTAAAAAAAAAATTAAGTTCAGTGACTATCCGGTATTGATATTTCAGTTATGTTTTAAGTATGTAGTGAATCTTTACAATGATTTCGAATATACTTGGTCCTCCGATATATCATAGACTGTTTGAGATAGTAGAAGTTAAAATCCAGTATTAATAATTATTGGATACTTCTATTATACAGGGTGTCCCAGAATAAGTAGGCAATCTCCCAGATTCAAAAAAAAAAACATGACAAGTTCCTATATTTTTTTCCTACGACCTCTTTTTTTTTTAATAATTTTCATAAATAAAAATAAAAAAATAAATACAATATATTTTTTAAATATGATGGATACTAGATAAGTCTCCGTAAAATGGACCATTTTAAACACATATGGCTTATTTAGTTTGCCAGGAGCGGACTAGGTTTAACACAATAATGCTAATATTTTTTACACCCTGTGTGATAAAAACGCAACAATAATATTTTTGGTCAGCTAAAACCTTAAACTAAAAAAAAGGTACTCCTGATCAATATCGATAAAATGACTTGTTTTCGTTAAAGATTTTTTTTGCATTGGTTGATACTAAAAAAAAATATTTTTTGTTACTATGTTTTTTTTTGACGGTTTTTATTGAATAATTTTTTATTTCGATTCAATATAAGCACCTTCTAATCGTATGCATTCCCTAGCTCTAAGAATTGAAGATTGTTGGATCCTCCACAATAGCCCAACATTATTCCCTTTTTCGCGACAATGAAAGTTAATCGTTTCTAATAAGTTTTCTCTATTATTGTCAGGAGGATTGGCATAGAATATTTTTTTAAATATTCTCACAAAAATAAATCTAAGTGATTTTGGTCAGATGATCGAGGAGGCCAAAGTACTGGTCATCCTCTTCCTATCCATCGATTTCCGAAGTTCCTGTTCAAGTATTCTCGAACTACTAAAATTTGGTGGGGCCCCATCATGCATGAACCACATATCACGTCGTATTGCCAAAGGTAAAAGTTCTTGAAAATTGTTTTGAAGAAATTCCAAATAAAGTTCTCCAGTTAAACTTCTTGGCAATATGACAATACAAATGGCCCAATTAAATGTTGCCCGAAGATTACGGCCCATCCCTTGGCGGGTTCAAATTGATGATGATGCGCTACAATAAAAGCATGCGGATTTTCTTCTGCCTACAAATGAAAATTATGGGAGTTTATAATGACGTGTTTAGAAAATCCAGCTTTGTCCGTAAACGGAACTGAACCCAAAAAATTTGCATCGTTTTTGTGCCGATCTAAAACCCAGTTAAAATATTCGATCCTTCGCGGAAAGTCTTCAGAAAGAAGGGCATGGATTATCCAGAGGTGAAATGGATACAATTGTTGCGAACTGAGGATTTTAGAGACCGTCGATTTTGGAAAATCAAACTGGGCAGCCAATTTTCGGACACTTATAGAAGGATCATCTTCTGCGGCATTTAAAATATTTTCTTCGATACCCTCGCCGCGATCCATTTGAATTCCACAAATATTGTGGCCAAAATTTCCTAAAATTATTTTCGGTACTTTACATGAAATCTCTATTTAAAAAATAAAAACGCCGTATTTTTTTTACATGTCTCTTTCAAACGGTTATTAAAGATGATAAAATCCAACTTTTTGTTTTTCTTTTTTTCTTCATGTTGGCCTTTGTGCGTTTTTTGAGCAGAGATAGGTATAGGCATTGCTTCATATAAAAAAAGTAGACTAAATTTCCTTTAAAATGGTGGGTTAAAAACGTTTTTTGCATAAAAACGGACTCAGATATAGCCGCTCAAACTTAGCTATTTTTTTTTATTTTAGAGACATTTACCTTGATACCATTTTAATTCCTATATTTCTACCTCAAAATAGATATTTATTCAATAAAAAACGTATTTTAAGGTAATTTGTTAATAAAAATTCAATATTTTTATAAATGTGTAAAACTATGATTAATTTATAAACAAAGTCACAATATGGGCAAAAAAAATTGTGAAATTTCTAAATAAAAATATTTTACAATTAAAATCTTACGAGCCCTCTAACAACTATATGTTCGGACGACGTAAGAAAATTAAAAAGTATATATTTGTTTATTTTAAACATTTTTTTTTTTTTTCGATTTTCCTGAGTGAAAAATAAAGTCACATACTCTTTACTTAACATAAAATCTGATCGTAGGGAAATACTTTTTCCTACGACCAGGAAAGTGACACATATCACACTATATAGTCCTATGGAAAGTGCCCTATATCACACGCGTATGAATAAGAATTTACTTTCCACCCGAGTGAGAATATGTTACTTTCCGCAGTAGTTGTCACAAAATGTCAAACACCTAATTTCTATTTTGATCTGTGTAATGTCCATATTAATACTAAAATCGATTGTTAAACTATTGAAATTGTTGTAAATTAGATCCTAGATATTTATCTTTAACAATTATTATTAAAATAATTTTAAAATAATGTTTACTCTTTATTCTGGTTAAATACATAACCGATTAGATCATTCAATTGACACAAGGGTTATTAGCTCAGGTGGTTAGGACGTCGAACTTATCAACTTTGCCATTTTTCGACCGCGTTCAAATCCTGGCGGGGCAGAATTTTTTTTTGTTTTTTTTTTTATTTTTTCTTAGTTTATTTTTGTTTAGAAAATATGAAAACTGAATAAATACGATTATTGTTGATTATTTTTTTAAATACATTTGAATTATTATAGTAATAATAACCTTGGTTTTACATTTTTTTGATGACATTATTTTGTGGTCGTAGGAAAAATATTGTACATAACTTGTGTGAAAAGTGATTTTCCACATTCGTGCGACAATATTTCCCACTCGTGTGAAAAATGTCACTTTCCACACTCGTAATGTAATATACTATTTTATTTTGTATAAACTACATAACAAAGTTACGGAATTTGATCAAATTTGCCGACAAATAAATATCCGGACGCTAATCTTTATTGGCCTTGAAATCAGTAATATGCATGCATTTACTGATAAGTCTAGTGTGCTTTGGTCAAAAGCTGTCAGTTAAAGGTTTATCCATCAAAATTTTAAAATAAATTTTTAAGAAAATGGCGCGTGGAGTTGCGACAAACAAAAAACTACCAGAAATTATCATTTCTCAGTACCACAGAGGTAAATCAATTCAAAAAATTTCGAATGATTTAAATATTGCAAAATCAACGATCGGGTATATTATTAAAAAATATGGAGAGACAGCCAGTGTTGACATTCGTGGTAAAATTTATTATTTTTTTACATAAAAAAAAATTAATGATTTATTTCGATATGAAATCGCATTCTCTACAATTACCAATTGACTATACCTGAATTTTGTTTCGTTTTGGACATATAATTTAAAAACTGTAAGAGTTGCATCTTCATCCTTCTATCTCAAGTTTCCACTCCGTGGTTTTTTTATTTCTAATAACCATTTGAACGATTCATAGGAGAAAAATGAAAAAAATGAAGGTGATCGTTCCTTTCTATATGACATAATCAATGTCTTACCAATTCCAAAAAACCATTTTATCGATATTGATCAAGAGTACCTTTTTTTTGTTTAAGGTTGAAGCTGTCCAAAAATATTGTTTTGTCTTTATCATACAGGGTGTAAAAAATATTAGCATTATTGTGTTAAATAAAAAATATTAGCATTATTGTGTTAAAGCTGTACCAAATGTGTTTAAAACGGTCCATTTTATAGAGACTTATCCATCGTATTTAAAATTTATTAAATTATCTCAAGGTCTTTGAAAATTATTAAAAAAAAAAAGATTTTCAGGTGTGTCCATTATGGGACCATATCCCCGAAAAGGGGGGTCGTAGAAAAAAATATATAGGAACTTGTCATGTTGTTTTTATGTGTTCTATCTGAATCCGGAAGATTGTCCACATTTTGGGATATCATGATATTAATTTTAATAAATATGTATTATTAAAAATTTATTCTTATTTTTTAGATATTTCAGTAATTTTATTTTAAATTTACACCAAACTTATTAGCAAAATCGCAAAATGTTGCTTATAAGTTTATGGGAAATGGAAAAAACAAATTGAAAACCTGATTATTTATTGTGGCTATTGATTTTAGAACATCGACCTCACGGGAGAGGGGATTACCCAACTTTACCCAGAACAGGTTCCACTTCAGAATTTGAACCCCTAGAAGACAAACAAGTTGAATATTTCTTCGCTTCTGACGCGTCAGCCATTATTGAACATACCAACAGGGTTATCTACTTCGAGGTATATAGTCAAAAAATAGTTTCACTTCATTAAACGATGGAGTAATTCCCAAAAAAAATGTTTCTAAAGTAGGTATTGAAAAAATTCCGCATGGCTGAATAGTGTTTAATTCTTATTATCTTACATGGCACGGAAATTACTCATATTTCTGTTTTTTTGTCAGTCATGGCCTACTTTAGAAACATTTTTTGTGGATCACTCTTCATTACTAACCATTAAGGTTACTGCTCACTTAATGTCTCTGATCATGATCAACCTCAAGTCGGCACAGCATTCTTCTATGAATTTTAATAATCGTACGCTCACCTAGCAACTAGTAAATGGCAGTAGGACATAGCGTGGTATATGTGATGACCACTATTTGTTACCACGTCGTCAGGAAGAATGAACGATAATGATGGATGGTATTGAGCTGTCAAGAAATCCAGAATTCACTTTCAGTTTTTAGTTTTTCCAAAATATTATGTAATTAAGAGCGCTTACATATGTTTGTCTTTTAATCGATATCATCGAACAGTTAATAATAATAATATTAATAGTATTAATTGTCCAACGGATTTATAAAATCCCTTTACAGATCAAGTAAATTACATTTCCATAAAATGAATATGGTAAAAACAATACCTACAATATATTGACAATATATGACAAAGAAAGTTAACATTAATTTAATGAAATCGTCCCTATTAGTAGCGCAAACGGAGACAAAATCTAAATGAATAATTTTTTATAATAATTAATGAAACAAATGGTTATTACAAGCACATAATTTGATATTATTTAGTTTATCTCTAAAGATGTCACAGAAATTAAACAGGTTATTAAAATTTAGTGATGAGTTGATTGATACATTTTTTGTAGAACTGCTACACTAAAAATTTGATTAATATTGTTATATTGGGGTACATTTAGGTTTTTTTAGTAAAAATATCTGCTGATAAGCCAATAGAGTTACACATAAATACAGAGTGTTTATTTATTCGACCGACAACGCTCTACCCCAGAGAGCTCTCATTAATTGATGAATTTTGATATAGGAACATGAATCCTTAAAAGGCTTAATTACCAAAATAAAAATTTGTCATATATCAAAAGCGTCTTTAAATATTTTTTTCAAATTTGATACACTAAGCTGTTGTCAATACACGAACTATTTAAAATTTGCCTACTTTATTAGAATTTAAAAGTATTGAGTCGTTACATATGATCTAAGTACATACAGACTAATGTTTAGATGCAAATGTCGTCAACACCGTTCATTTTAGTTCCATAAAAGGTTATTACCTTTTTAACTAAAAATGAACAGATAATTTAGAAAATAAAATTTAAAAAATATATTTGTTCCAGTTGCGTAAAAAATAAATCGCAAGGGAAAAGGCCAAGGTTAGTTTAGTCAAAATATTATAATATTTTTAGGCGTTTTTGATTTATGCCAAATTTTGATTTCACACTTTTAACGCCCGCTATTTTGGTAACTAAGCCCTTTGAGGACATGTTCATACATCAAAATTCATCAATTAACAAGAGCTCTCTATATAAAAAAAGAATTAAAAAAAGCAATATACAGTGTGTCTACTTAAGTTGGAACCATATGGAAAACATTTTTATTGTTGATTTTAGGAAAAAAAGTTATTCTTGATAAAAAGTCCTGCATGACCCAAAATCAAAAATACAGTCATCACATATCAAATTTTTCAAGCCGTATACGAGGTTTGTCAAAAAATATGAATTTTACTCAAGAGTAAAGTACGTTTATTTTTGACAAAATCGAAAATTTTCATTAAGAAAAGTTGATTAGAATTGAATATTACATTCAAATATGCAATTACACCGATCTATCTGAAAAACAGATTTTCTTATTTTTTATAAACTCTACACTCTACACATTGATTGTAAATATCTGAAAACGTTATAAATTACGTTAGCTACTATAAACATGATACGCTTTCCTTTTGTTAATGTTTGTGAAGAATTTAGCATATGGGTTCCAACTTAAGTAGTATATCCAATTTTTTGTTTTATTTTATTTTACCTTTTCGCTTTTTTGCGTTTTTTGAGCAGAGATAGGTATAGGCATTGCTTCATATAAAAAAAGTAGATTAAATTTCCTTTAAAATGGAGTGTTAAAAAAGTTTTTTGGATAAAAATGGACAGATATAACTGCTAAAACTTAGTTATTTTTTTCGATTTTTATCTCGTTTACCTTGATATCGTTTTAGTTAATATTTAAAAAATAAAAAATATTTTTTTTATAATTGTTGTATAATTGTTTTTTTTGCAATAAAAGTTATTGTTTTGTTACTAATATTATTTTCATTGTTTTATATCTTTTTTATAACGTTATCAAATTGGATATCGATTTCTTCGTCTATGTCTTCAAGAACATCGTCTTTTAATTGTAAAATATTTTTATTTATAAATTTCACAATTATTTTTTTTTTTCAATGTTGTGACTTCGTTTGTAAATTGATTATAGTTTTACACATTCATAAAAATATTGAATTAATAACAAATTAATTAAAAATACTTTTTTTATTTAATAAAAATCAATATTGATGTAGAAATATAAAAATTAAAACGGTATTAACGCCATAAAAATCGGAAAAAAAAAATAGTTAAGTTTGAGCGGATATATTTCAGTCAGTTTTTATCCAAAACACTTTTTTAACCCACCATTTTAAAGAAAATTAAGTTTACTTTTTTATATGAAGCCTATATCTATCTCTGCTCAGTAAACGCAAAACAAAAATGAAAAAAAAAAAAAGTAATTTGCATTTTTTTAAAAATCTATTTTTTCATATTTTTTGCTTAATTTTTTTTTTTTTTTTTTAAATATTTTAAATAAACTATTTAGATGTGAAATCGCATTCGCTACAAAAAATACCATTAACTATATCTGAATTTTCTTCCTTTTCGAGATATAATTAAAAAATGTAAGGGTTGCATTTTTACCCCGATTTCCAATTTCCGCCCTCTAATTTAATAGTACTCTGCGTTTTTTTTTTATCTTTAATGGCCATTTGAATAATTCGTGTGTTAAAAACCAGCGATGGTGATAGTTTCTTATTGTCCCCTTTTTTAGGACACGAATAGGTGGATAGTGACGATTATAGAGAAATTTAACAGAATGGATATGGGACGATATTTATAGATTAGTGAGTTATCACCTAATTTTAAAACCGAAACAATTCTGCTTTCTTTCCATTTGTCTAGAAATGTTAATGACTAAGTAATGCTAAATTAAAAATTAATTTTAATGAATGAGCTAATACAGTCATTAACAAAGAATGATGGTATATCATTAGAACCGGAAGTAATTTTGTTATTTTTTTTGCTAGCCTCTATGATTTCCTAATGTTACTTTTTATTAATGCAATCACCATAAAACTTAGATTCAAATAATTTAGCTCTATTTGCTTGTTGTTCTAAAAAACTATCAAAAAATGCCCAAACTTATTAACTATATCCTGAGGTTTGGAAAATATTTCATTTTCTAAAGACATGGTACCAGAAATATGCAACGTTCTATTTTTTACTTTAACATAATATGTCCAAAACCGACGCGAATCATTAGTCATATTATTTTTTAATTTAATATAAGATTTATAAGCACGTCTAATTTGTAACCTAAGTTGCTTGTATTGTTCGAGATAATTGATATATTTTGTCTTATATGTTTTGAATAATTTCTCTTTCTTTTTTATATTGTTAATAATAGAGTTCAACTAACATTACTAGTTAGATGGTAACGCAACGTACGCTACATCGGCTAGGTGGTATACGTTGTCATGAACTTAATGGAGTGTACTGTTTCTATATCGAGCTTGTGCCGAACTGTCGTTGATTAGAAACATCACCACTTTTGAATAATAGATATTTTCCTTTGCATCGAAAGTGTAGCACTGAGCTACGCCACTTCTGAAAATATCATTCCATTTATACAAATTGTATAGATGGAACGATATTTTCAGAAGTGACGTAGCTCAGTGCTACACTTTCGATGCAAAGGAAAAGACCTATTCAATACTTGTGTCAATAAAGTATATTTGACAAAAATTTTAATTTTTCAGGACGATGACGTTGCCGCTGTGAAAAACGGTGCACTCAGCATCCACAGAGTTAGAAGAGCCGTCGATGATCCACAAAAACGTGAAATTATCACTCTCAAAATGGAACTACAGCAAATTATGAAGGGCAATTACGACTTCTTCATGCAAAAAGAAATTTTTGAACAGCCAGAATCCGTCGTGAACACAATGAGAGGTCGCATGAATTTCGAGAATGGGGTAAGAACTTCCTATTTTGAAAGTATATCGGGTTTGCATTTGGACATAATAGTTCTTTTAAATAGTTAAATGCATAAATATGTTTATTAAATTTAAAGTCTTTCTTCCGTGGCCTATGTACACAAGTAACATTAAAACTACTTGCACCTGATCTATTCTTTTTAAATTTAAAAAGTTTTAAAAACGCCACTGGATTTATTAAAATGAAAATCTGGATTTAAAATTGTTTTACTTTAAAATCTTCAAAATATGTTATCCAGTCTCGATCATAAAAAAATTTAAATTAAATCATTTCAATTGGGACAAGGCAGCTTTATTGCTCTATGGATAGTCTAATACTGTTGTTTAACAGTTTCTACAACAAGAGATCAATCAAAATGATGTAATTCACGGAATTTTAAGATCGAGTTTAGATGACACATTTGGAAGTTTAAGTTAAAAAGAATATTAATTATTAGCATTTCCAGGGCGAACAATGTATTTATAAATGTGATTCAGAGGGGTCTAAAATTTTTCCAAATAATGTTTTTTAAAATATATTGAATATTGTCCAAAATAAAAAGTTTTCTATTTTCTTTTTTTGTTTTGACTGACGCAAATAAACATTTTTTTTCTCTTTATGTAGGCAAAAATGATAAATTCACAACGCAAAATAAACAACAAATATTGTTGTCATTACCGGTCCCGAAGAATGTCACAGAAATGCCACTTTATTAAGGTCAATAAGAAACTTAAAGTTGCACCAACCCTTTAAGATATTATGGTTTGTAATGAATAAACCTAAATTATATAATAATTGAAAATAGTTTATAATCTATTATTTCATGTTTAGCAGCTTTAATTATGAGTCTTTGTATGTAAACTTAATAATTTAATGTTAAAGCAAACAAACACTTAGAAAATGTCTAATTCCTTCTAAGCCTTTATTTTTGGGAAATTTTCAGGAAATACCAATAATAACAAAACTTAAGACGGAGAAACCTTAATGTTATTGGAAACCTTGGTTTGAATAATTATATAGTAGTTTTTAAATGGAAAGGTTTCCAACTTTTTTCTTAAATGTCTTTATATAGTGCTGCCTTATCGTTGCACAAATTTAAAGTTCTCAATATTCTCGAGACACATAACATGGTGAAATATTTATTCTCAGTGGAGCGCATAATAATATAATTTTATATTAGAAAAAAAAAAGAACCATTTTTTGCTTTCTACAAAGGACCTTTAAATCTGTATATTGATCTTCTCTTATTTTCAGACCGTTACACTTGGCGGAATAAAAGACTATATTCCAGAAATCAAACGTTGTCGAAGACTGATGCTCATTGGCTGCGGCACGAGTTATCACAGTGCCATTGCAACGAGACAACTTTTGGAAGAACTTACCGAACTACCGGTCATGGTAGAATTAGCTAGCGACTTTTTGGACAGGACCACGCCCGTATTCAGAGACGACGTTTGCTTCTTCATCTCGCAATCCGGAGAAACCGCGGACACTCTAATGGCTTTGAGATATTGCAAAGAGAGAGGTGCTTTGATTATTGGCATCACAAACACAGTTGGTAGCTCAATTTGTAGAGAATCGCATTGCGGTGTTCACATTAATGCAGGCCCTGAAATCGGTGTGGCTTCCACCAAAGCCTACACTAGCCAATTTATTTCTTTGGTTATGTTTGCCCTAGTCATGAGTGAAGATAGGTTGTCTTTGAAGCAGAGGAGAGATGAAGTAAGAGCTTAAAACTGGTTTATTTTCTATCGTATAGTATCAAACCAAAATATATTTTAGATTATCAATGGCTTGAAAAACTTACAAGAACAAATCCGCAAAGTGTTAAAACTAGATGAAGAAGTAAAAAAATTGGCTGAAGATTTGTACAAGAAAAAGTCTTTATTGATTATGGGCAGAGGCTTCAACTTTGCTACCTGTTTGGAGGGTGCATTGGTAAGGAATTTTAAAATTATAACATACATTTTGTTACATTTAAATTTTTTACTTGTAGAAAGTAAAAGAATTGACTTACATGCACAGTGAAGGTATTATGGCTGGTGAACTTAAACATGGACCACTTGCTCTTATTGACGAAGCCATGCCTGTGATGATGATAATCATGAGGGACCCTGTATATAATAAATGCATGAATGCTTTACAGCAGGTAAGACTTCTAATGAAATAATCTTTGTAAGAAACAGTAAACTGCATGGTATAAAATATATAATTTTATTGTAAATTTTAACAAGTCCAAAAGTTTTGGCACAAAATTTTATTAATGTCCTGGTAAAGTGACAGTTTAGGTTATCCTCATAGATAATAGTTATTTATGTACCAAGTCAGCAAAATTATTCTTTATCGAACTAGTCTGTGATTAACAGGCGAGTTCGATAAAGGCACTGCTGACAAACTTTTATCACCAATCGTAAACAAACGAAAAAAAAACAGCGAATACAAAACAAATCAGTTCAGACTATTTCTGCCAGACGGTCATGGCTATGTTGATAAATATTGCGGCAGATAAAATATTTGAGTTTTACAGTGAAATAAAGTGTTTGTTTACTTCCGCAAATCGCTATGGTAATGCATAGCTTTATTAAAGGTAGCGATAAAATAATATTGTTGCCTAAACATGTAAACCTTCTTAATGTAAAAACATCTTTGTTTAAGACCTTTAACCAAACTTAATATTATCATAACATTCACGGTAATTAAGTGGAATTACATTCTTTAATTCTTGTATATTCTCATTTTTTTTATTATAAGACGATTCAAAACAGAATTTGTAACAAATCATTGTTGATAATACTTGGAGGAAGGAGAGGAGGGGCCAATTCACCCAACCACTTACATTTAGAGGGGAGCGAAGTGGCTTGTCCTTTGGGTGGTGTAATTTTTTGCGTCTAAAAGTCCAATCTATCGTACCCGAAGTTCATTTCCTAAGGGTTCAGTATATCCACCTCCCCTGGGGTGGGGGGGAGAAGTTGGGCGGTTTGAAATCGTTTCAGACAGGCCCCGTGTTAAATATTCTAGATTATAGAAAAAATAAACTTTATACTTTGACAACTTTCTTTTAATTATCAATTAAACATGACAATACCATGACATTGAGAAATATAGTAAGCAACATATTTCTAACTATAATATTAACTTCAACTACTAAGATTTTCCGTAACATTCTATCCCCCAGTGCTAACTTCCTCGTTAGCACGAATATTTAATCGATGCAGCTTTCTGACAGGCCTTTGATAAATTCCATGTGACGTTCGGACATCGGCTATGCGCACTACACTATCGCTGCCTTCATAAACCTTTTCGATAACACCCAATGGCCACATACCTCTAGGTAAGTTGGTATCGTTAATAACTACTAATTCACCTGGTTGAAGATTAGTTTGGTCGGCAATCCATTTAGAACGATTTATTAGTGTTGGAAGATACTCTCGTAACCAACGTTTCCAAAATAAGTCGGCTAGATATTGAGATATGCGCCACTGTTTTTTAAGAGAAATATCCTGTTCAGAGAAGACACCTGGTGCAATTACTTCTATAGATTGTCCAATCAATATATCATTAGGAGATATGCTAACTTTATCATGTGGGTCTATAGATACATTTCCAAGTGGTCTACTATTCAAAATGTATTCTACTTCGCAAAATAAAGTATGCAATACTTAATCAGATGGATGTTGATCCTTCATTATAGCCATGAGAGCCCTTTTGAAGCTTCTAATCAAGCGTTCCCAACTTCCTCCCATATGTGGCGCTAATGGTGGATTAAATTTCCATGTAATTCCCCTATTGGTTACTTCGTCAATAATTTTGGTAACTTCAAGTTCATCTAGTGCTTGCATTAACTCTCTGTTGGCTCCATGAAAATTTGTACCATTATCAGACCAGAATACCTTAACGTGCCCTCTTCTAGATATAAAACGTCGTATTGCCATAATACAAGAATCGGATGTTAGGGACGAAGCTATCTCAATATGTACGGCTCTGACAGTTAGGCATGTAAACAGAACTCCGTAGCGTTTTTCAAGTCGCCTTCCGACTTTAACCACAAATGGGCCAAAGTAGTCTACACCTGTTGCAGAAAAGGGTTTCTCGTACTTAAGTAGTCTCTCCTGAGGTAGTTGACACATTCTTGGTTGAACCTGTTGTGCTCCTCGGCGCCTACAGAAAATGCACTCTCTTATTATTTTCTTTACCATTGTTCTCACTTTCGGTATCCAAAAGTTTCTTCTTAATTCGTTTATTACCGTTTCCGTTCCCTGATGTGCCATTTTCTTGTGGTAATGTATTATCATCTTTTTTGTATACTCATGATCACCATCAAGAACAACAGGTTCCTTCTCAATAACGTTAATTTCACCAATTTTGGTAATTCTCGACGAAATTCTAATAATTCCGTTTTCATCCAAAAATATACTTAGCTTTCTGAGCCTTCCTTGATTATTCGGAACAGTATTTTTTCTCAAATTTTGTAGGTCAATATAAAAACAAGTATGTTGGACCATTTTCCACCATTCCACTTCACTCCATTTCAGCTCATCTACTGATGGAAAAGGAGAGTTAGTATCAATACAACTTTTGGTTTTCAAGTTGGTGATATATCTTTTTACCCTTGCTGTAATTCGTAACAATTTTATCCATGTGTAATGAGATTTTATAGAAGGTAAATGAACAAATGATTCAGTAATAATCAATACATGTGAGTATTCTACTAGGCCTTCTTCATTTTCTAACTTAGAAGAAATTTTCGGCCAGTTATTCTTACTATTATATAAAAACTTGGGACCTTTAAACCAACAATGATTTGAATTAAGAGGGTATTTCGTTGTGCTTCGTGTACATTCATCAGCAATGTTCTCTGTTGTTGATATCCAGTTCCATTCTTTGACATCGGAACATTCTAAGATTTCACTCACCCTAGCTGCAACAAACGTCTGTAATTTATTATCTGTATTAAGCCAATGTATGACAGTTTTCGAATCAGACCAGTAGTATGTAGAAGTAATGTTTAATTCCAAATGTTTTGAGACCTCTGATGTCAGCCTCACACCTAAAACAGCTGAAAGCAATTCCAATTTCGGAATGGTAAGAGACTTCAATGGGGCTACACGAGCTTTGGATGCAACCAATGTAACTTCTACATCATCTTGTAGATCGATTCGTAAATAAACTGCAGCACAATAGGCATCTTCACTGGCGTCAACAAATGTATGGATCTCAAGTGTTGCTGCTTCTTTTATTCTTTTTGAGTAGCACCTGGAAATTTTGGTATTCATTGCGTGTTTTAGTTCTTTTAACCATTTATTCCATTGGCTGAACATTTTCTCACTAATGAAATCATCCCATCCGAGGCCTCTTCTCCAGATATTTTGCAAAAGAATTTTAACTTTAATGGTTATGGGTGACAAAAAACCAACTGGATCATATATAGACATGGCAACATGCAGAACTTGGCGTTTAGTAGGAACTTTGGTACCGTCGAAAATATCTTTGGAAACTTTGTGAAATTTTAATTTAAAAGTATAGCAATCTTCAACCGGATTCCACAGCATGCCAAGTATTTTTTCTTCACTTACTTGTTTGTCAACTTCTAAATTCATTTGTCTAGGTGATATAATATTTTTTGGCAATTGATCTAAAACATCCTTTGAATTGCATAAAAAATTTACAATTTCAAAACCGCCTTGACTATGAATAAATGTTACTTCCTTAATCAGTTGAACTGCTTCATCTACTGTCTCAGCACCATCAAGATAGTCGTCCACATAGTGTTTCTGAATTATTCCATTGACAGCTCGTTCATAGCAATCCCTAAATTGTTCTGCGTTATAATTCTTAACGAATTGTGATAAAAAGGGCGAACAAGTAAGACCAAAAAGCATAGCTGTCATTCGATATATTTTGGGAGGCAAATTAACATTCATATTTCTCCACAAAAAACACTGGGCAAAGTTATCTTCATCAGAAATTCGAACTCTGTTGAACATTTCTCTAATATCACCAGCAAATGCAATTATGTTTATTCGAAATTTTAGTAGAATACCAAAGAGAGAAGTTAACCAATCAGGACCTGTTAATAGGAAGTCGTTAAGGCAAGATCCGTTTACTTTGGCTTTAGCATCAAAAACCAGGCGAGTTTTCTTTGGTTTATTGGGATTTTTTACAGGAAAGTGAGGAAGAAACCATACTCTTTGTTGATTTTGCAATTGTTGGTAGCTTACTGGTTCTGCATACCCTTTATGCAAAAGCTTTTGTATTTCCTCTTCATACGCAGTTGCCAGTTCATTGTCTCTTTGAAGGCGTTTTTCTAAACATTGAAGGCGTTGCATCGCCATTGGTTTGGAATTTGGAAATTCTATATTTTTTTTCCATGGTAATCTTATTTCATACCTATTACCTAACTTGTTTATAGAATCTTGTGCTAATGAAATAGCTTGTTCTTCCTCTATTAACCCTTTTCTTTTTCTATTTTCTCTTATCATAGCTACACCAAAATTTTCAAGCTTCATATAATTCTTTACCATTTCATGCAATTGGGTATCTGCTTTTTCACAACAGAGAAAGGATATTTCTTTTTCAGATGAATTTGAAGCGTTTCCAATTGTTCCATGAAGTGTCCATCCAATTTTTGTTTTTGATAAGATTGGAGAAACTGGGGTTGGCTGAATTACTTGCCTAGAAACAATTAGGTGAGCATTATTTTGCCCTATGAGCAAAGTCGGCTTTTGTATAGTTTTAAGATCTTCAGATACTTGTTTTACAAAGGGAAATTGTTCTATTAGAGCAGGAAAATCGTATTTCTGAACAGGTAGGTCAAGATTCTTGATTGTTCTGATGTTGTGAAGTTTGTAAAAACTCGTATTATTTTTACCAGCAATTTCGGTCTCCACAATTTGAGAATCATCTTCGAAATGATATACTTCACCTGTCCACTTATAACAAAGGGGCGATGTAGGTCCATAAAGTCCCATTTTCGTGGCTGTGTCAGATTCAATCAGCGTTACAGTACTTCCCTCATCAAGTAAGGCTGTGACATCGAATGTACCATTTGGACCTCGAATCTTTATAGGTAAAATTTTCAGTAGAATGTTTGGGTTTATTTCTTTGACATGGGTCGTAATTTCAGTATTTCTCGGTATATAAGTTTTATGTAGAGAACTATGGTGAAACCTTTCGCAATTATTTACACCGCATCGTTTCTTTCTTTTACATTTTCCATAATGTTGACGTAAACAGCGGCAGCATGCATTGCATTTTTGTACTATCTTCCAGCGTTCTTTTACACTCGCAACCTGGAACTGATTACAATTTTCCAATGCATGTTCATCTTGTTTGCAGATTTTACAAATTTTTTTAGTTACTGGTACTACGTTATTTTTGAGAAGATTTTCTTCCAATTTTATACCATTTGTAGAATCATGGAGGTGAAAGGTAGGATTGGTATTTTTGGAAACAAATGAAATTCTTGATATCATCTTTGACATTTGTTGTACCCAGTTTGAAAAATCTTGTAAAGACTCTTTATGATCTTCTACTTTGTGGTCGATCAAGTAACTACCCCATTGTGTTAGCAAGTGAGGAGGTAGTTTGTTAACTAAAATTGCTAATAAATGCCTCTCATCGATATAGTTAGCCAAATCTTCATTAATTGCAGCTGCCAGATTTTGTACAGTACTATTAAAATCAATAAACGATTCCGCACTTTCTACAGAAGATATTTGGTGTGCTTTGGATAGTAGTTCTTCCATAATTGCTTCGAGTCTTCCGTACTTTTGTTTTAAAATGTTTAATATTTTGTCGGGGTTTCGAGCAGTTATAAGAAGCATTTCTACTGATTTCCTCGCTTCTCCACTGAGACTATCATTTAGTCTTAGTACATTTTCTTCTGGGGAAAACAAGCAGGCTTTGTCTGTTAGCAGAAATTGTGAATAGTAAATAGGCCATTTTAGATGCGAAGATCCATCAAAATTAATTAATTGTTTCCCTACAGTTTGGCGAGTTAACATTGAATTGATTGACTTAGTTAAGTTTTCTACATCATTATTGTGAGAAACAAGAGAATAATCAAGACATTGATGATTTTTTGATACCCATTCTTCCGTATTTCTCAACCTTGTTGATTTTTCAATACTCAAACTTCTCAAATCTCTTCTAGAATCTTCTGATTCATTTGAGTCTGAATTTATATTAAAATATTCTTCATATTTGCTAAAGAAGGTCTTTTTATTTTCTAATTTAGATTCTAGCAAGTTTAAAAGCTTTTTCTTTCGATTTATCTCACCTTCTTTGGCTTCTACGTCCTTTTGTGAGATTATCTCTTTGCCTTTTAGTTCAGCTACTTCACATTCTAAATTAAATATTTCTTCTTGTTTTAAGAAAATGCTATCTTGAATTTCGTCTATTTCTTCCTGGATTGCTAGTAGTTTAGCTTTTCTAGTTTTCTTAGAGGCGGAACTTACATGCATACTCTTACTTTTTGTAGAACCTACTAAAGTCGGTCTTTCATAAAACGAGTTACTTTTTTCTACCTCATTGAAATTATTCGACATGACTGCTTTTCCAGAGTAAGGGAGGTGTCTGAATAGCTCGAAAGGACCAAATACTTTGTTAAATATTCTAGATTATAGAAAAAATAAACTTTATACTTTGACAACTTTCTTTTAATTATCAATTAAACATGACAATACCATGACATTGAGAAATATAGTAAGCAACATATTTCTAACTATAATATTAACTTCAACTACTAAGATTTTCCGTAACACCCCGCTTTTAATTTTTTTCTATCCCTTGCCATTTAGGCGTGGCAGAGGAAGAGAGGGGAAGTATTTTTTTTTGTTTTTTGGCCTTATTTATCCATCCATGTAATGGGTGACACAAAATTGATCAAATATATTTGACCGAATACATTTGATCGAAAAAAGATTTTATCGAATAACGATTGAAAAGAACAATGATCGAAAAGAAAATTGATCGAAAATAGATTTGATAGAAAAAGCAATTGATCGAAAAACCCAATATATATAAAATTTGAAAAAATAAAAAAACTCAACTTATTAACCTAACCTGTACGGCCTAGAGCTATCACTGATTGCTTCGCAAAAAAATTTACAAGAAATGAAACAAATTAAAAATCTTAATTAATATACCTAACGTGCGAGAGCAATCAATAAAATTTAAATGGCTCTTTTTTTTTAATTTTACTATTTTTAATGTTGATTTTCGGATGCAAAAAGAGTCTCAGGAATGGTGAAACAACTATCCAAGACTGAGACAGGCCAAACAGTTCATCAAGGAACCATCGGCCAAGTTCACGAAAGACCTACTGAATCAAAAGCGTCAGATCGTTAGGATAACAGTAGGTCTTCTTACTGGACACTGTCACCTCAAAAGGCACATGAGTGTTATAAATCCAGCAGATGAAGCAACTTTGTGCAGGTTCTGTGAAGAAGAAGAAGAAGAGGAAACATCATTCCACGTCCTGTGCCAATGCGAAGGTCTGGCTAGAATGAGGTTTCTAACATTGGGCGAAGAAAAGCCAATTGCATGCAACTACATGCGGGAGCCCCTGTCAAAGCTACTAAGTCTAACATATGACGTAAAATGGTAATGCAAAAGTGCAGACACATTTAGTACCTTCATTGCATTGCCTCTTTATTCTATATCTATGATTTGAAAGATTTCGTACGCCCCACCCTACTTAATGACGTCACTGTGTGCGATGCGCAAAATAAGGTGATTTAAGTGATTTTAAGCAGGCACATTGTTTGTTTTACGGATCTGTTGACGTGTTGACCTCTCGTTTTAGCTACGGGCTTTCGCGAAAACAACTCGCTCCCTCGGCCCACTCAAATTAGTGTACCAGGGAGACGCGATTAGCCAGAGCGCAGTGGCGTATATTTTTATGTTATTTATTTTAAAATAATTTATTTTTATGAAATGTGACTGGGTGTTAACTGCACAAATGAACCAATTGAGAAACCGCACCTGGTAATAAGGTTAAAATATCTTTAATGGTTTTCCAAAAGGCTATCGATGAAGACGGAAGTTCAAAAATTATTATAATTACGAACTATATTATCATATTATGCTTTTAATAAATACAAAAAGTAGCATTATTTACATTTTACATCGGGTAAATGCCAACACCAAATATGACAATAGGTGTGTTTAATCATCCTCTTCTGAGTTTAAATTGTCGTTTTAACTTGTCAAATTAAAACGAGAAAACCGACAGCAGAATGATTAAAACACACCTATAGAATTTTAGTTCACACAGAACTAACAATACATTCGAAATCAGTTATATTACATATTACATGATTTTTCTTTGCTATTTTGTAGCTCGTCTTTCAAAAAATGAATCTACCGATACTATAACAATTCTAACACTAAAACATAGTTCAAAAATAAAAATATAATGACATCTTCATCCTTAGCAACCGGGATGAGGCTAACGACAATTTTGTCACTTATTTCTACTCTGAGAAAAGTAACTGCAAAAAATGTCGTCCCTTTGTTTGTTTGACAAAAAGATCACACATAAATGAAAAAACAAAATCTAAATATGATAAAAATTAAAACAATTAACCACCATTATTTGATTGACTCTATTATCATACGCCAACATTGTAGAACACACATTAGAAAATATTAAATTATTAGGAATAATATTTCTTATTTTATATAATTTCATAAAAAATATACAGCAAAATTATTATTGTATGCTTCTTGCACCTTCAATATTATGTACTATGGAGTGATCCACAAAAAATGTTTCTAAAGTAGGCTATTGAAAAAAATCACATTGTCAAAAACTTACAGTTCTTCTTTTTTTACGTGATAGTTTTGATTTAATCCGGAGGCGTTCGTAGTTAACACGGACGTGACTCGTATCTCTTTGTCATTCATGGTCTATTTTAATAACATTTGTTGTGCATCACTCGTTATGAGTTGCTAATGATCCAAAATCGTAATACCTCTTAAAAACACATGAATCCTTTTCTTTATAAACAAAAAAATAACTGCTTTTTAGGTAACTGCCCGTGAAGGAAAACCAATTATAATATGCGAAGAAGCAGACAAAGAAACAATGGCATTCAGTGAGAAATGCCTTGAAGTACCCCGAACTGTTGACTGTTTGCAGGGAATTTTAACAGTTATACCTATGCAATTGCTTTCCTTCCACATTGCCGTCCTGAAAGGATGCAACGTTGATTGTCCTCGAAATTTGGCAAAAAGTGTTACTGTTGAATAGTCTTTTTATTTTAATTATTACAGTCTTTATAAAGACTCTAATTTATTTAAAATTGTTTTAAATTTTCAAGGGACCAGGAATATTATTTCATTTTTTCCTTATTGTTTTTGCATTTACCCAATTTTATTATCGCCTTAACTATAAACAAAGCATGTACTGTTTCCAGTCAGAACATTTATGCCTGCATTAGAATGATTGGTTTTACTCAAATTTAGAAATGTAAACATTGAAAAATTTACCTTTAAGGTACTATAGTGAAAATACAGTCCGAAAAAGGTAATTTTTGTCTTAAGAAAAAAAAACAAATAGCAAATCAAATGACTCCTGAGAAAAATATATCTTATTCGTTCTTTTATTTTTATTTTATTCAGTGATGCAACTAAAACTTCTTATGTATTCCAAGCGATTACTTTAATTCTGAAAGAAATGTGATTTTTTTAATTTTTTTTTAAGATGAGCATTGATATTCTAAGAAAATAGTTTAGATAAAAAATAATACATTTTTTATTCAGTATAGTAAAGAATATTTTTAAGGCAATTGTTGAGACTTAAAGCACATTTTTTTTATCATGTATATTGAATGCCTTCTATAACTATGAAAAATTATGCTAAGAATATGGTGGGGATGACAGTTATTATAGGTGTTTCAACTGGGATCAAATCCTACTATATACGGTGTGGAACAATAATTCGGTAATAAATAAATGGAGGCGTGTTCGGAAAAACGCTCGGATGCGTCGATTACTATTTTTTGTTGCGGATTTTTTTAACAAAATCTTTTGATACAGGGTGTGTCATGTAACAATGGCCAATACCAACTTTCTTATTTTAAATGCGACAATTTTTGTATTCTTCAGAAAATTCTAGACATATTTTATGTACTATGTTCTATACCTAACTGTTTCGGAAATATTAAATGTTTTCCGACTTATTGCAAAAATTAATATTAATAAAATAAAATTATTTGATTAAAGAAATTTGTTACAACATACTCAGAAACTAATAAATTATACTGTTTATTTCTTGATAATGTAACAAATAAAACATCTCAATGTAGATGTTCAAAATGTTACTTTTTGCAATAAATCGGAAAACATTTAATATTTCCGAAACAATTAGATATATGACATAGTACACAAAATATGTATAGAATTTTCTGAAGAGTCCAAAAATTGAAAAATATACATTTGAATTTAAAATAAGAAAGTTGGTATTGGTCACTGTTACATGACACACCCTGTATAAAAAGTTTTTGTTTAAAAAAATGCTCAACTAAAAATACCAAACGACGCGTTGTTCCGAACACGTCCCCATTTTTGTATTACCGAATTTATTCCATTTGGCTGTTCCACACCATATTAAAAAAAAGATGTCCCTAAGACGTGTGTAGTTCTAAAAACACCGACAGAGGTCACAACGTTACAGTGGACCCTTAGACCATTGAACAGATAGACGGAGCATGCGATGCTTCGTGTTTATCCAACTTCAGACAAGTTTATGTCTGCCCATTAACTGATTGGTCTGCCGTTTGGCAGATTAAAGATTCTCTCAGATCAGCGTGAGTCACATACTTTGATTTTCTCTTACTATACGGAGAATGGTCGCACTGCTCAGATTTCTGAGTGCCTTTTAAAAGGAGATAGAACACTCCGCCATTTTGATGTGTTATTACGTGTTGCCTACATCTTGGCGCAATATTTTTAATAGGTGCGTTTTAATCATCCGCTTCTGCTTCGGAATTGTCGGTTTTCTTGTTTTAATCTGACAGGTTAAAACGACTAAACCGACAATTCCGGAAGCAGAAGCGGATGATTAAAACGAACCTGATATTTTGCTTGCTGCTGTCAGTGAATATTATTTTTGGAGTCACAGTTTATTGCTAAAGAATCAGTTAGCTCTCTCGGATCAGTTGAAAGTTCCAAAATAACATCCACTCCAGGGATACAAATTCAGGATGCGCAGAAGACTGCTGTTTTATTTTAGGCGGTTGTCATATATTGTATTATCGGAGTTGCGCAGTGTATAAACTGGAACATTGAGATCAAAAGTGCCGATGCAGAGTGAGCGAACTGATTCTTTAGCTATGAACTGTGGTAAAGGCATCAAAATGGCCGCGCCCTATGTTGGGCGTGTCGGACCTCTCTCTTGTACTATAGTAATCAAAGTATGTGGCGTGAGTAGAGACTTGAAGTGATGCTATGAACGTAAACGTATACGTGAAAATTGACATCTACGCTTGAGTATTCAAATATCCTTTACGTTCATGTCTATGTACATACGCACTCTGGCGTATGCACGTATGTTTTTGTTAAAAGTTTGGTTAGAATTAAATGTCAGTGGAACCAAAATGACATCACACTGAACTAGCGCATTGGGAAAGAAAAAATCCTAATATTGTCATTATCTGTCATAGGGGTCTATTCTGTAACAATTCCTTTATATTTAACGGCCTTTAAAAATATTTTTTTCTTTACTTCTGTCATTATTTAAACGGATCTTTAAAATACATTAGAGGACTATCTTAAAGAAATTGTTTAAATAATGACAGAAGTAAATTTACGAATACGAACATATTTTTAAAGGCATCCAATATTTTTAAAGGCCGTTAAATATAAAGGAATTGTTACAGAATAGACCCCATAGCATGTCATGCGTTTAAGAACTTTACCTCATATTTTGGACGACACCGTAAACATTATTTTTGTGCGTTGACGTTTACTTAACATACACTTCAACTCTCTAATGTTCACTGTGAATACGCGACGAAAATTCGCAATGAAATAGTATTCAATAATTCTAAAGCAATAAAATTCGTGCTCTTCCGAACATGTAAATTAATCGCCGTGTAAACCGTATTCAGGGGAGGGAGCGTACATTCGCAATAGTTGCGGAATTTAAAGTGCCAAAAAATCGGTAAGATGGTAGAACATTTTTAATACTACAACCAGTAAAGTTGTACTTGTGAAAATTTTAATGTTGGCATTTTGGACACTAAACAAATTCGGTATTCCGTACTTTGAATTTTTTATAAAACATATTAATGGTATTTACTTATGAACATTATTAGAACTATGCACGGCTTAAGTCCATATTATTGAGTTGTATGTTTAATGACTGTCATCCACCTTGGCTAAGTATTACACATATAGCATATGCATGTAGATGTCAGAAAATTAAGATATTGTACTTATACTTATATTATTTTCTAAAATTGTTATATTTTTATTAAATTTGGTTATTTATTCTATTGTAAAAATTTATATTTATTAGTCTTTTAAATATATTTGATATATAACTTTGTCATATACCTTTCATAAAATATATTTAATCTAAAAATGGTTTTTCATTTATTCGCAGTAGCAATTTTTGAGTTATGATTATAAATAAAATGGATATACTTTTAAATTCCAAAAAATGCCTTCTGGATTTGAAATTATCGCCGTGTTTCAATTTTATACATTTATAGGTACAGTAAGAAAATTTAGAAAAGAAACAAAATATTTCTAAAAAAGAAAAAGTTGCTTGCCCAATTGAAAATATATCAGATGTACGTGAATAATAATCAAATATCGCTGCAGAATTGATTGTCTCCCAAATGCAAATAGTTTATCAAAATGAGATAAACTTATCTTGGTCAAAAATGACATTATTTTTAACTCCTGTTGAAGATTAGATTTAGTTTGAAATCAATGCATGCTTTATATAGGGTGTAACAAAAAGATTGGTCATAAATTATACCACATATTCTTGGGTCAAAAATAGGTTGGTTGAACGTTTTTTACCTATTTACAAAAGTGCACCCAAAAATTTTAAACTTAAAATAATTTAAATTAATTTTTTTGAAGTTACTCATAAACCGTTTAACATTTTTTCAAGAAATTTTATATGGCACGTTAGAGTACAATGACTTTTAAACCGAGGTACAGGCAATATTTTTTTCTCAATTTTTGGAGGGGGTCACCGCCCTTTTGACCACCCAACTTTTTTTTAGTATAAAATTAATCAAAAATGAAACGCCACTGGAGTGCAACATCCATTTTCAAACTTTTTTGTCTCTTAGTATTTGTTTTAAAAATGTTTGATTTAGACAACACTTGAAATTATGTCACCAACTGTCTACGTCAATTGGCGGCATATGAAAATCTTTTTCATTATTAATATTGGGAAAAAAGTTATTCTTTATAAAAAGTCGAGCATGGTCTAAAACCTAAAATACAACCATCAGATATCAAACTTTATCAGTCGTATAAAGAATATAGGTACTTTACTCTAGAGTAAAACTCATATTTTTTGACAAACCTCGTATACCACTGAAAAAAAAATGATATTTGTTGACTGTATTCTAGGTTTTAGATAATGCAGAACTATTTATGAAGAATAACTTTTTTTCTTAAAATTAATAATAAAAAAGTTTTCCATATGATTCCAACTTAGGGGGACATACTGTATATTCCATAAAGTAGAAAAATGACCCCTAATAATTACCCCCAGATGTTCCGACTATGCTCAAAATTTAATCAGCCCATCGCAGGATGGAATAAAGCTTAATTTTAAAATTTATCGTTTTTCTCTATCCGTTCATGAGTTATCGACTATACAGAGACATCATCGCGAAAATAGACAAAACGGATTCAGGGGACCCCAAAACGTAAAAATGCATCGAAATCTCGAGGTCGAAAAAATCATGATTCTTATATTTTCTTTATCTGTATACAGACAGGAAAGTAAAAATGTTCAATGTACATTCTACTTTTGCAAAAATATCAATTTTTCAGTAAAATCGATTTTCATTGTTAAAACGATGTAGAAATTAATAATTGTAATTTAATAAATAATAATAATTTAACAAACACAAAAAGTTTCAAAATAGATGTTGCATTCCAATGATATTCCATTTTGATTACATTTTATACTACAAAAAAGTTGGCTAGTCACAAAGGTGGTGACCCCCTCCAAAAATCGAGAAAAAAATATTGCATCTACCTCGGTTTTATTAGCCA